GGGGTGCTGGGCTGATACAACGGAGATGATCTTGTATGTCTCCTTTGACTCCTTGGAGGACAGGTGGGGTATAAATGCACAAAAATATAATCAACAATAAGCTGGGGTCCCAGAGGAGCCCCCGTGCTTCCATGATCTGGGTAGCGGAACAGCACAGAAGAGAGGCTGGTGCCTTCCCGCCCGTTGTTTTCTTAGTCCGATCAAAGATGCACCAGGTTTGTTCTCTGAGCAAGCTGGTCTCGTGCCTGGAGAATTACCGCACTGCCTTGCTTTATCCACACACACACAAACACGCACACACGAAGGCTGAGTTGTGTCTCTAGCGGCGGCACTTGCGGAAGGCACGCAAACACGCTTCAGCTTTCCATATGACATGCGACTAATTAAGCAAACATGAAACGCGTCTTGCCAAAAGAGCTTCAGCCCATCTGTTCGGAGTTACAGCTCCGTCTCTCGTATCATGTTTCGCGGAGACCTGGATTTCCTGAACCTCGATGCTGACAAAACAGCGGATGGGGTGGATGGATCCGGCTGTGGCATGACGTGCGAACATTTTCACTTGGGGCGATGAGCTCTGCGGACTCTCCAGCACAGCTGCTGTGGGTATGCTCACATGTATAATTAGCAATCCACAAACAAGTACCTCTCACGTAGCGGTTAATTTGAACTAACAATGGATAATTACCCGTTCCCAGCCTCCTCTGCCGGAGTTTAAGGCGTATTAGACAGGGAGAAGGCAGAGAGGGAGGTTGCCGGAGGAGAACGGGGGCGAAAATCTATGTGTGGGCTCTCATGGTGTTGCCACTTCTGCCCCGGGAGGTATCTCCTTGGAGGAGCAGGGAAAAAGACAGTCGAAGGTGGACTGGCGGCACTGATGGGATGAGGGAGGCAGAGGCCCTCCCGTGCGATCGCCACCTGCCAAACAAGCCATTTCCTGAGCCCCGTTTCTTGCCACCCCTAGCAGGGCTGATAAACAACACGCAGGCTGCACTACAAGACTGGCGCGAGGTCGGCTGCAGCAAGCATCGGGCTGGCGAGGAAGTGGACGCCAGGCCAGCGGCCCACGATGCCTGGACCCAGGTGGGCAGATTGACTGGGGTCTGCTGGTACTTCTCTGGAGGGTTCGCAGTAGACCAGCAAGGGTTTCTGATGCTCGGTAGCTTCAGGCATCAACCGGGTGCCTGTTGCCAGGGGAATTCCAGAGTCTCGGCGAAGACTGGGGGAAGGGGGCAGCCCCCAGATTCCCGGGCTGACAGGGAATGTTTTGGAAGGGATGGGAGGGGTCCCAGATGGGGAAGAGGGAGAGCCATCGCCTTGCTCGATCCGACCTCATAATGAAGCATCAGGAGGGACAAGCTGGCCATTCAGCGGGCTCGCAGAGGTCTCTCTGGCTAGCCCTTCCCCAGTGGGGGCAACCCCGACTGGGGAGACCACAGCATCACTGAGAGGGAAGGATTTGCGGGCGAAGTTCCGAGTTCGGGTTCAACACTCTTTACTTGAGTAGAGGTTTACCTTTCAGCTTATTAGCGGGTTTTTAGCTAGTTTGCTTTGCAGCTATGAAGCACCAATAAAGATCTGCATTGCAGAGAGACTTCTGGTGCTGTGGAACCCGAGGGCAAGAAGGGAAGGGATTCGAGGTGCAGCTGGGCAGCCCTCTGGGGGGGCGGTCACTGGGTCCTCACTGAGCAGCGGCTGGACCCGATGCCCTTCTTGCCCCGTGCAACTCTGCTGCTCCAGGATTCTGAGGCTGAGCCCACAGCCGTGACAAAAATGCCTTCCCACCTCTAAGAAAGATCAATGAAAAAGAGGAGAAAAACTGTACAGGACATGGGGGGGGGGGTGAGCGCCAGGTGTGGTGCTGAAAAAGACTTCTTTGGGATCGTAAGATATGATGACATTTTGGATAAGGATGGAGGCCTGAAGTTAGATCAAGAAACACAAGAACAGGGATTTAATATTTCTTGGTGGCATAAGGTGCAGATGCAATCGAGATATGCTAAAGACTGTAAAACATGGGGGTTTTATAAGGAATTAACAGCGTTTGATCAAGTGATGCTTAAATCAGATGAGAAAATGATTAAAAGATTATGACTTCTTACTTGAGAGGAAAATGGAAGATGAACAGGTTAAGGAAACTATGATAACATGGGCACAAAATTTTGGATATAATATTGAATTAGAAAAGTGGCAAAAGCTATGGGAGAGAAATATTAAGGTAACATTTGCAACTTCGTACAAAGAAAACCTATATAAAATGTTGTATAGATGGTATTTGTTGCCAAATCGATTAGCTAAGATGTTTCCAAGTATGTCAAATAGATGTTGGAAATGTAAACATAAATTGGGTACCTCTTATCATATGTGGTGGACTTGCGACAATGTGAAAAAGTATTGGATTAAAATACATAGATGGCTTGAGGAAATGCTACAAAAACCCTTAGCTTTTAAACCTGAAGTTTTCCTATTAGGCATTATACCAGAAGATATTAGCAAACAAGAAATGTATTTGATGTTACATGTAATTACTGCGGTGAGGATTGCATTTGCTCAACACTGGAAAAGTGAAGAACTGATACTAAGAAAGATTCTGGACTGTACAGAAATGGATAGATTAACTTTATCACTGAAGGAGAAAGATACTGACTTCTATCAAACTTGGGAACTTTTTTATTATTGGATGGAGAAATGGGACTTGGTTTAGATTTAAAGATGTCTTTAAGTTGTTATAAATGGATTTAATTATGGCTATGGAATGTTAAAAAATACGTAGTAGGGGGCTGACCCAGTACGTCTGATGTATTTGATGATCGATGTTTTTAGTAGTAGTTTAAAAATCTTAATAAAAATCTTAAAAAAAAAAAAGACTTCTTTGGCTAAACACGTGTTCCAAGACAGCTGGGTCCATAAATACTGCCTTAATGGTGCCAGCAGCTGCTCTTCAGGGTTACTGGATTTTATTTAAGTTTTTATATGCCATTCCAATGCTAAAATTCTCTGGATGGCTTACAAAAACAACAACAACGCAACCATCTACAACAACCAACACACAACACACTGCATCTGAGGAAGATGATAAAAGCAAGAATAAAACCAATTGACTGTTAAAAAGGCAGGAAAATAAAAAGGTTTTCACCTGATGCCGAAAAGAATAAAGGAACGGCGCCTGGTGAACCTCTCTGGGAAGCGCGTTCCGGTCAGGGAGCCACCGCCGAAAAGGCTCTTCTCCGAGTAGCGACCCTCCCGATTTCCTTCAAGGAGGGCTCCCAGAGGAGGGCCTCTGCCTCCGATCTCAAGGGGTGGGCAGCCACATAGGGAAGGAGGTGCTCCTTCAGGCAGGCATCTTTCCAGCATAAAGTGGGGGGGGGGCACGCCCTAAACCAGAGTCTAGTTGAATGTGGATCAGGCGCATAAGCCGACCTGGAAAATCGCTCCCCCTGTGCCACTGAGCCCCTAATTGAATGAGAGCTGGTTGTGATCAGTGAGGAGGAGAAGCAAGAGGACAGGTGGGGGCAAAGCGGTCCTGGCTGACCCTCACATTGTGCAGCTGGGTTCAGACAACACAACAGGCCATGGTTGGCCTGTCTGAATCCAATCATGGTATTTCACTGTGCTGAGTCTGCTCTTTAGAAACCCCAATCAGAAACCATTCATTCAATGGCTTACATGCACCATCATGGCTTGCTGTGTTGTCTGAATCCGCGATCCTAGTTTCCAAGGCATGCAGCTACCGCAAAGTCCTCTGGAAAGAGAAAACGGCAAGAGCTGCTCCAGTCATCCAGACTGGGTATGCAGACTCGCGAGGAAGAGCCAGGCACGTAGGCAGGGATGGACGCACCTTGGGATACAGTTTCCGGCACAGTGGCTGCTGGAATACATGCAAACTGCAGAAAGACTGAGCAAGGAGAGTGGAAACCGCCACAACGTAGGCTCTACTTGATGGTCTGTGAGATCACAGTAAAAAACCCCCTGCAAAATGTGCTAACAGGGTTGCTCATTGTGTCGTGAGAACACAGCCTAAGCCCATTTCTTTTCGATTTTCTGTCCATATTTTAAAAACTGGTGTTCGCTTGTTTTCCTCTTCCCTCCCCATCTGGATTTCCTTTTGTGTCATTCCATACACACAGCATGCCCCCAGGCAGAGGCAGTCTCGCTTTTACTCTGTGTACAACGCTGAATATAATTTAGCTGTTTCATACATGACAATTACCGTATTTTTCGCTCTATGAGACACGCCTGACCATAAGATGCACCTAGTTTTTAGAGGAGGAAAACAAGAAAAAAAAATATTCTGAATCAAATGGGCACGTAATCTCAGGCACATTCCCCATCACTTCCCCATGGGCTGCACATCTGACAGACTTACTGCACACACACATTCGCCCTATAAGACGCACAGACATTTCCCCTTATTTTTGAGGGGGAAAAAGTGTGTCTTATAGAGCGAAAAATACGGTAACTCAAGCAGTTTTCAAACACACAGAAAGCAAGAGTGCTGTTTCCTTGGTGGGAAGGCGATGTATAAATCAACCAAATGAATAATTTCCCAACGAAAAGCACTCTTTAAAAAAGGGGGGGGGCTTGGAATCAGAGGTGGTGGCTGCAATGTATTAGATTTACTTTTGACACTTTATGCTCATGTTCAACAGAGTTGAATAACCCTAAGACAGAACTATTAAGATGACTTTGCAGGAAAAATCCAACTTCAGACCATAATTGTTTCAAATTCCAGCCCAAGGAGAAAGTTACTGGCTGGTTTGAGCAAGCCTCTCTTTGGTTCATTTTGGCCTACCTTACAGGGCTATTGTGGGGGGGAAGCAATACTTTTAGCTCCTTGAAATGTGTGATGGGAGCGAATCTAGCAAATGCAACTACTGGTGTGATATGACAATGCTGTTCTCCTGGAAGGCTTCACATTCTGTTTCCAAATGCATCCGTCCTCGTCACCCCCCGTATCTCCACGTCTTAGGCAGGCAAGCCCATTTACAGTGTGAGAGTCAGTATTCGCATTTTTAAAAACAACTGCATTTATCCAGGGCCGAACATGTATCCCTTTGGATACTGGGTGCTTCACAGAATTAAAAATAAGGAGAGGAAGGAGGCCTAGAAAGTATTACTTCACAATGGCAGATAAATAAAATTTAAAGGTGGGTGCAAGGCAGGCCCCACCCCTGCAAAAAGAAGAATTAGGCAGATTGGGCTATAATTCAGTCATAGCCTTTACTATAGGAATCACCTGAAATTGCTTGGGGCAAACGAACATTTTGTGTCCAAGGATAAACAAAAATGGCTTTTTGCTGCTCAGTTAATATTTTCTTTTTTCGAGTTTGTATTGCTTCAGAGCCATTTTTTTCAGTAGTTTACACAAACAATGTACTGGCATTTCCACATCGGAGCATTTGAGGACTTGAGCAGATCAAACCCCAAATGCTGAAAGACCCTCCCGCAGGTGAGGGGAAGTACCAAGCTCTGCCCGGCCCCCTCCAAAGATCAAGTACACCAGATGCTTGTGGCCCCACTTAAAAGCTGCTGCCACACCTTCATCTATGAGATCCGTTCCTCTTTTGTGTCCCTCTTGCTACAGCTTTAAAAAGTGCAGAGTTGCTAGTGAGCTGGAAGAAAATTGAGCCCACTCTTCTGGAAGCTCACAGCAACGAACAGGGTTGTTCTAACAGGGGTTATTTGGTCTGGTATGTTTTCTCTCTTTCCGCTTGTTGAAGGAACCCCCTTCATAATTCTTGAAGAAAATGCTGACTAGGTGTAGCAAGATGCTCTTCACAGCCATTTCGGTGCACCCCTTCCGCCTGCACCTCCTACCCGCTTTAGACGGCTCCAGAGAACGGCGGCAAGACAGGGCGAAGAGGCTAATGCCTTTGGCTTCCTAAGGGGTCCAACCTTCCTCGTTCATCGGGCGCCAAACTGTCATTCACGTGGAAGAGAACGCGAGCCCTCGACCCGGCTCGGAAGCCGGAGCCCTCTATCCGTGCGCGGCTAGGAAGCACACGCTGGTCTCCCCTGTTCAGTCTCACTCCTTCGGGCCGCTCAGGGGGAAGGACTCTCCGACGAACTGCCGGCACATCGGGCACTGCTGGAAATACTTCACGCACTCGTCGCAAAGGCATGTGTGCCTGCAAGGCAACAGCACCCAGTTGACGGCCCGGTTCTGGCAGACGATGCAGTCCCTGGTGCTCTCCTCCGGCGCTTCCGGCTCGTCCTCGGCCAGCCCGGCCCTTTTGAGCAGGGCGTGGGCGTCTGTCCCCTCTCCCAGGGAAGGGCTGAGCACAGAGGAGGCGCTGCTGTTGGCGGACATGAAGAGTTGCTGAGGGTGGGGAGAAAGAAATGCAAGTTTAGGCACCGGCGCGGCTCTTGCACCACCTGGGCCGGCCCACCGCTGGGTCGCCACAGCACCTGCCATGGAAATCCAGGGAAACGGCAGGAAGACCCTCGCAACTGGCTGCCGGATTTGGCAGTGGGCTGCAATTTTATTTATTTTTACAGACCTTTTTATTTAAACGTTATTTTAATTGTTGAGGTTATTTATTGATTTTAAAAAACTTTGCCAGGATGTCTCCACTATTTTATGTATTTGTATGATGGTATTTATTTATGATTGGAAGCCTCCTCAAGGCTTTTGCGAAGGGGGCGGCATATAAGTTGCCTGGCACTTACCGCTGCAGCCTTGATGGCACCTTTTAATTTTTCCAGGCTTTTTAATCCTTTGGGTTTTGTTTTTAAACGCCTTGCTGTGCCTTTAGATCTTGATCCTGTTGCTGGTTTTATTCCATTTTACACTTTGAATGGTACTAGATTTTATTGCATTATGTTGTATTTTGCAGTTTTACATTTTGTCAGCCAACTAGAGAGCTTTGGCTACTGGACAGAATCAAAAGGATATACATATTTATTCATTCATTTATTTAAAATTTTTGCACCCTGTCCACCACTTTGACATCTTGGGATGGATTACAATAAAGAAAAATAAAATAGAAAACAACACAGCATCCAGCGATCAAGATAAAAGCCTCAGTTAAAAAACCTTAAACATTAAAACAGGCAGTGTGGCGTAGTGGTTAAGAGCATGGGACTGGGACTCAGTTGACTCAGAAGACTGGGTTCTGGTCCCTGCTGACATCTTGGGATGGATTACAATAAAGAAAAATAAAATAGAAAACAACACAGCATCCAGCGATCAAGATAAAAGCCTCAGTTAAAAAACCTTAAACATTAAAACAGGCAGTGTGGCGTAGTGGTTAAGAGCATGGGACTGGGACTCAGTTGACTCAGAAGACTGGGTTCTGGTCCCTGCTAAGCCATGGAGCCAACTGGGTGACTCTGGGTCAGTCACAGACTCTTAGCCCAACCTACCTCACAGGGCTGTTGTTGTGGGGATAAGATGGCGGAGGAGATGTAAGCGACCTTGAGCCCTTTGAGGAAAAAGGCAGGATACAAATTGAAAAATAAATAAATTAATTAAACAAATAAAAATAAAATAAAGGGAAAATATATAAAAAGTTTTCATCTGATGTTGGAAAGAATAAAGCGTCTGTGCCAGGCGAACCTCTCTGGGGCGTGTATTCCATAGATGGGGTGCCACCGCAGAGAAGGCCCTCCTCTGGGTAGCCACCCTCCTGATTGCCTTCAAGGAGGGCTCCCGGAGCAGGACCTCCACCTCCGATATCAGGGGGCGGGAGGGCACATAGGGGAGAAGGCGCTCCTTCAGGAATCCAGGACCCAAGCCCTTTAGGGCTTTACAGGTCATCACCAGAACCTTAGATTGGGCCCGGACTTCAATCGGCAGCCAGTGTAAGCAATAGGGGACCAGCGTTATATGAGAGTACCTGCCAGTCCCCATTAATATCCTGGCCATTAATACTGTAGACCAACTGAAGTATCTGGAGCGTCTTCAAGGGCAGCCCCACACAGAGCGTGTTACAGTGATCTAATCGGGAAGTTGCCAGAGCAGGGGTCACCGTTGCTGGGCACTACTCATCTATGTACACAATAAATACAAACTTCCAGAGGACACTGGGTTGGGGAAGAGACTTTTCCAGACCCTCAGGAGTCTTGCTGGCCCCTGTGTGAGCAGAATGCCGAGCTGGACAGTTCCTTGCCTTGATTGTGCATCAGGGTTCTGAGTTCATCTCAAGTTCTCAACAGAGAATTTCAGTGTTGCCTTCACAAAAGACAAATATAATTGTACCTATACTTATCTATATCTGCATATTAACAAAGTTTATTGGGCAAATTGCTATTGTGCCTTGTTTCTCATTTAGAGGCAAAGACAAGACCTTCCGCATGCGAGTCGCAGCTTCTTGGGCATTGTGGTACAGCCTTGCCTCATTTTCAAAGGTCCAGGCAGGAGGTACAGTCAGCTCCAGGATCATCACAGAGACTGCTGCCGTTTCTTTAAAAGTCAGTATATGAATCGGCCTGTGCCCTGGTAAGCCGGCAAGTGCAAAGCTTTAGTCCTAGTCCTTGACCTTAAAAACGAACGACTAAGACCCTTTGGAAAATCCATAGATGCTTTTTGGAGAATTCACTGCTGGAGCCATTGAAGTGAGAGAGGATTCAGGCATACCGTGAAGCCATGGTTGTTGTGAGTTCTGACAAACCATGGCTTGTGAGTGACTGATTAACTAGGATCTGGAATCATCTAACTCATCTTGGGCTGTGGTTGACAAGCCATGTTAGCTTGCTTGCTCAGGGTTGTGTCTCCATATAGAGCTTCAAAAGACTTCTTCAGTGTTTAGGGATCATTAAATAATGATCATTATTAAATAATGGAGGGGGAACAGGAGATGAAAAAGAAAGTTTTAGTGCAAACATGCTAAGGCAGCAGAATGTTAACTGCCATTAAAAAATATGCTTCTAGCCCTCAGTATCAAGACATGTAAGAGGGAAGTAATTCTTTGCTCTTGGGCCTCTGAGGAAGTCCAAGAAGCCAGCAAGGTGAATGAACTTTTAAAACTCTGGGCAATTCCACGGAGTGCCATCTTGTCCCCATGGGTTTGCCGAAAGGTCATAAACCCCCCTTCTCTGCGGAATTTAATGTTATAATTATTTTTTTAACTTATTGTTGTAAGCCGCCCCGAGGCTTTGGCGAATGGGGCGGCATAAAAATGTTTTAATTAATTAATAAATAAAAATCTCAGAATTATTTTGTAGGAATAACAGAGAGAGAGGGGGGGGGGAGAGGGAGAGGGAGAGGGGGTCTGGTCCGCCCCCTGCTGCAGAATAAGGGAGAAAGGCGGACCTCAGAGCGCCTGCAGGGGTCTGATTTTTATGATAATCTTGCCCTGTGTGAAAAGCATCCCGTGAGTGGGCGGTGAGTGTGCAACAGGAACCGGGGTGAGGCAGAGTCTCCACAGAGGATGCTAAGCTGCTGCTGCAGCTGCTTTTCCTTGCAGGCAGTGTTACACAGGGGGAAGCGCCAAAGTGCAATGACCCACCTGCAGTTGGGAGCGGAGCGATTAATCCTCACTCCTCTTTCCACTGCAGACCTGGGCGTCAGCCAATTCAGCCAGTGGATCGCACTGGACTTGCAGAATAGGGCTTTCTGGGTGTCTCCTCCACCACCACCTCCACCCATCTTCTATCTTTGTTCCTCTTGCAAGAACCCAAGGTGGATCGTATGGTTGTTATCTACTTCGTTAACCTCACAGCAACCTTACGAGGTGGGTTGGTCTGGGGGTCAGGGACTGGCTCCAAGTCCCTCAACAAGCTTCGTGGCTGAGTGGGAACGAGACGCTGGATCTCCCGAGCTGCAGCCCGTCTGCACAAGTGTTCAGCTAAAATGCACTCCATGTCCAAATCCAAGCATTTTCAGTTAAAACAACCAAGTTATCAGTCCCAAGAAAGGCCTAAGGATGTTTCTGGAGAGCATTGAGCTGCCATGGGTAAGGTAGATGATTGGCCCAAGAGAAAGCAAGAAATTCCTTCTAACCGAAAGATCCTTGGTCCATTCGGAGATGTAAAATGCAGAGAAAGGCACCATCGCTTACCTTTAGATCATGAAATTGACCCTGGGCCAGAAGGAGGTACTGATACAATATCCTGCAGGAAAGGGTGTAGCTCTCATCCGGAATGTGAATGATGGACACCATAGAAACCTTTAAAACAGGAAAGCATCTTTCAGCACTGCTTCCCCAGTAGCTCACACTGCGGACAGCAGGAAAACAAGCCTTCCAAAGGGCAAAACAAATTTGACATGCCTTCAGGCACAATCACTGGGCAAGTCCCGCGTTTAGACAGCTGGGCTGTGGCACTGGCAGCCGCAAACCTTTACCCAGTCTCAACTCGCACAGGGCGCCTGACTTTTATTTCCACTCATCTGATGCTCACATCCTCCAAAGTTCTTATTTAATCTTGGAGGACCAAAATGTCAACATAGCATCCCTGATCGCACACCTGTCAAACTTTCAGGTGTTTTGAGGTGCACCCATGTGCGCATATGGATTATTTATCTGTAGCGTTTATACACCACTAATTGTAATAAAATATCTAAGGAGCATATTAAATATAATATACACACCATCTCGCCATAATCCAAGATGATTATCATTTTGTGTTATGTTGCCTTTCCAATTGCCTCACTTTGAAGTTAGGGAACAAAGTTTCCTTCCCTGATTTTCATGGCTGACCTTAATGACAGATTTCTTCTTCTGCTTCCATTCCTTAACTTGTTTGACTTTTTTATGTAGTTTGGTATTTAATAACTCTCTGATGTTCAATTTGCCACAGGGCACCCCGAGTTCTTTTGGGAGACAGGTGGAACGTGTATGTTAAAAGAACAAAGGTGCTGATTCAACTTAATTCCTTTTCTTCAGGAAGAAAACAGCTGCGATGTCCGGTTTCCTACCCTAATCTGGAGGAAATCTGTCTTGTTGATCTCAAATTCATTTTGTACAAGTGAAATCAGCCATATTTTAAGTGACTTTATTGTGGAGGGGGTTCTGTTTTACATGCTGAAGGTCCCTTTTACATGCTGAAGGTCCCCTGTTCAATCCACAGCCTCTCCAAGAGGGAAACATCTAGCCTGCAACCCTGGAAGGGTGACCGTAACTGGGCGAGACAGACCAGATATCCGACTTAGGACCAAGATGCTCCTTGCACTCCCCTAAGCAAAACCAGTTCAACTCTGTTAAGTGGATACTCAAGTTAAAGAGTCACCAGGGAAGCTTTTACGCATGTGAACAACTGGGCCAGGGTGGATTAATTGGAATCGAGGCAGTTTAAATCAATGATGTAATTAGCAAGAGAAAAGGGCGACTGAAATCAAGCTTCCTGCTGAAGCATTCTGACATATTTCCCGGGCAATGCTGCAGAACTGACCACTGCAAATGCTACCCTGTTCTTTGAACGCTTGCGGCAGATATGCCCCCAGATCTCAGAGGTACACCGGGGCCCAGGTCAGAGCGGGAAGAGCGGCAGAAGCCATCTTTGCCCCTCCAGATCTACGGACCTAGATTTTTGCGAGATGGCTGTTTTGCCCATGGGGCTGAAGTGCTTCGGGGGAGGGGGGAGGTTTGAGAGGAGGCTGAAGTGCCAGCAGGTTTCATCATACCTCGACGGCCCGTCACCTTTCCCCACAGCCCACCTGAATATCCCCTTGACTGCTTCTCTGAGGCCGAAGAGGCAGCCAGAGTGGTGCGGGGCTGGTTGTGGGAGATCAGATCATGGATCCCCAGCTCTGAGGCCGCAACAGTCTCTCTAAGTTTGATTCAGGAAGGCAAATGAACCTGCAGCCCCACACGGATAATTCTCCACTGTGCCCTAAACAGAGCAGTCTGGATGCAGAGTCATTCTGACAAGCAGGCTGCCTTGCCTCACTGTATAGATCTTGCCTGCTTCCCCCTTTTTGCCTATAGAGTGTCTTTAAATATCCCCAGGGAGGGATTTCCTTCTAACCAGCACCCATAAGGAGAGCACACTGTGGTTCAGCTCTCCTCAAACGCACATTCCCCTGAGCCCAATGGGGTTTGCTTCCAAGTAACAGGATTGCCGCCTCGGCTCGAGCATATGGGACAATGCACATTAGGCAGTAGCCTTTCTTCCTTTCCAGCGCTGCCCATTTCTGCCTCTCTCCGTCTCGGGCAATCCTTGGCTTTGCCAAAAATGCAGCAAACGAAAGTGAAATGCCCACGAGGGATTGTGGTCACTGGACTGGAAAAATGCAACTTGTTTATTAATCCACTCTTCAGTTTTTATTTAAAGCATTGCTTTGTACCCACTCTTTAACACTGTTTTTCTGCTCAACTCCACGGTATTTGCATGTGTGGCTTTAGGCCAGAGGAAGTCTGGAGAGCCCAGACTTTTCAGGAAGCAAAAGCTCTTAGGTAGGCTGGGCAGAGCCATTTCCATGAGAATAAAAGCTCAAGTCAGTGGCCATGTTTGCGGTAGAAGGTAACTTCCATTTCCATGATTCTGCAAGTATTGATTTAGCATGTCCATGATGAGAGTTAATTGTAATTATATCATGTTTAACGGTGGAAAGAAATTTAGTACGTTATTTTTAAAAAATCGGTAACGTCAAATTTAAATGACTTTTTTTGATTTAACATTTTTAACATGGATTTTTCATTGTTTTTCATCTACCCTGAGCGAGACCCTTCACCTCTGTAACTAAACCCAGCAGACTGAAAGAGAGACATCTTCTGAACCTCTCTCAGAGGTGGGGACACGGGGGTGGCAGGTAAGAGGCAGGCATCTTTGGCAGCTTTCGAAGTGGTGAAAGCAAAAACAGCTCCAGCCTGGCGAACAACAACAAGTAAAGGTTCAGTAGCTAAGCTCTGCTTATTTTCAATTATTTGCACTGCATTCTATTCCAAAGGAGTAACCCTATGAAGGTTTAGGCGGAAGAAAGACCTGAAACTCCTAACATGCTCCAGTCAGGACAGAAAAAAGAAGTGGCCAGGGCGACTTCTTTTATATTTTATATTATTTATTTTATATTGTTAATTTTAATTTTATATTGTTATTTTTGTATTTTATTGTATTTTATTGTGTTGTAAGCCGCCCTGAGGCTTCGGCAAGGGGCGGCATAGAAATGTTCTAATAAACAAACAAACAAATAAATAAATAAAAAAGGCCTACAACTTTGCGCACACGGCCCATTTTTCCTGTCTACACACGCACAGGATGGTGCAAAGTGTTCCAGGCAGAGATGCCGCTCAAATACAAATAATAACATGCATCAAGGTTATGCACAAGAGAAAAACGGAGAAGGCACCCCAGGCAATTTTGTTCAACTGCTATTTTTCAAGTCTCCAGAGGTCACGGTGCGCATCCCCTTTTCTCCCCTTTTAAAGAAGCGCTTACTTACAATGTCATATATTTCTCTGTTGTCTTCATCGGCTAAGGTCAGCAGTGCTACCAGGGGGTACCGGGATCTAGGCACTGGTCCGAAGTCAGCGATCAGTGCCTCTCCCGGTAGCACACACAGCTTCTCCTCTTTGTCCGTCTTCTTTATGCTTTGTCTACGTCAAGGAACGCACACGCTGTAGCCTTGGATGGAGCCAAGTGGGCCTTTTGTTCCAAGTATGTCTCTGGACTTCACACGAGGCGGATCTCAAAGCACAGCCAGGGCTGTTGCTTGGCACATCCGCTCTTTCACCGTCCAGTCAGGCTTCCCTGCGACTAAAGAGCTGTCCTCTGCTCTCGAGGACAACTTATGACCCAAGAGTTTACCATCAGGTGCAAAATTCAGCCTCCAACCACCTGAACTTCATTTCTTTCTTTTTTATTGTTGAGGATGTTCCTAGTCCTTATGACTACAGATACAAACAGCATTTCTAGTGATCGGAGGGCATGGTTTCAGTGCTTGGCATCATCATCATCATCATCATCATCATCATCATCATCATTATTATTATTATTATTATTATTACATTTCTATGCCACCCCTTGCCGAAGCCTCGGGGCGGCTTACAACACAATAAAATACATTGAAATACAATAGAACATAATAAACATAATAAACATAATTATTGCCCCTTCCTATGACTGTTGCAAACAGAATGCTGCAAAAAGCAACAACAACCCAGGATGAGTTATGTAACATCAACACATGATCGGTTCTTGATGCTTTGCAGATTTGGTGAGAGTTTGCTTTTTCTTAGTGAAAGACCGAGGTGACCCGAGAACGGAATGTCGTTTTCTTACGGCAAATGGCTGGTCGGTCAGTATTCCAGCACTAAGAAAAAGCTCAACGTGTCTGTTTCCTGGCTGTGAGCAAAGGGAGAGAACACAACACTTAAGCGTGTCCGTCCGCTTCCCTTGACAGCCACGCAGTGCCTTGAGGAAACAGAGTTCATGGGCGTGACTGGAGACCCCAAAGGCTGGATCTACATATGTTCCTCTACAGAAGCCACTGCTTAGCTGCAACAGGGCAGCGAGTTCAGAAGGTGAACAGAGGGACAAGATGGCTTTTGAAAGGCACAGCCGGCCGAGTCAAGGAGAGTACGGCGTTCAGCGAATCCTTCGTTCCCCCGTTCATTTCTCTGTGCAGTTGAAAGGAACAGACCCGCTCGTTATCTCACAGTGCAGAACATGAGATCTAAGGAGCTCAACAGACAGCTTTTTAAAGCATGTGAGTTTTCAAAACCCAGACCCACTACAAAGAAGGATATTAAAGAACATAGTGCTTTCAGCTTTTCTTTGCAGATATAACGCTTCAACAAAAGTGAAGAGATGCGAGTTTCGTGAAAGGATACTGGTACTGTTGGCGGCAGAGATACTCATCACACACGGCGTCCTCAAAGGCCTGTGGAGTTTTAATGCGAAAGCAACAGGCATGTTTCTGCAGCGCTTCGTGCAGCTTCTGCACCCTGCAACCCCAGTAGCATGTAAGCAGGCAGTCTGCCAGGCAATCCGACACCAGCATTATGCCACCTTGGGACAGAAGGAGGCGGGGGGAGAAGAAAAACGTGAGTGTGGAGGCAAAGAGGAGATCTCCCAGTCCGAAGGGTCCACAAGGACAAAGGCAGTCCGCGCTACATCGCTGCGTGGCTGAGTCTGCATCCAACTGAGTGGCCATCTCCACGTTCCAAAGTTTTCAAACCCAATTGAGTTTTATTTAAAGACGCTTTCGATTTATTTTATTTTATTTTGTACTTTTCTATTTTGTTATGGATTAGCTTAATTTAATTTTGGTTAATTCATTGGTTGTGTTTATTGGTGTGTGCGTGTGAGGATATTTTATTATGAGGTGTTATCTATTATTTTACCATTTTAGCTGATTAATAACTGTTTTAATGATGGTCTAGCACCATTTTATGATGGTCTAGCACTGTCAGGTGCCCGAAGAACCTTCAGGTCATGGGGTGGCATAGAAATGGAATAAAATAAAATAAAATGCTCTTTTGCAGACAATTAAAATCAACCCATTTCTAGAAACCAGCTTTAAATCTGACCAGCCCCGCTCTTTGATCCAAGATTCAGTTCAAATTCTATTCAGAATTCACCTCCAAGGGAAAAACTACTGAGCTCAAAATACTTGGTTCTAGTCATGGTCACAGCAGTCTGAAATCGAGCTGGTCAAGCACCCAGACAGCTCCCTTTCATGAGTTTGCACCACGCCCCGGGCATCTTGCAGCACCAAGGGTATCCAAGAGATATAGGGATACTGCATCTCCCATGCGCCACAGACAAGAGGGAGGGAAGCAGGAGGATGAGAAGAAGAAAAGCACAGAAATCAGTCAGACGAAGCCTCTGAGCTGGTCCAACTCATGTCCCAGTGCCAGGTGGGGATAAGCAGCGGAGGAGACGCAGAGCCCTGTGGATCTGGCCTCCTCCCATCCCACCCATCGAACCATCACCTCTGACCTCTGTAAGGTCATCCAGGGAGACCCTGCGAGCCTGAAAGCAGCCGCCTGGTGCTTCGCCCGGGGGAGGAGGGCCTGGAGGGCCTATGGATTCCATGTTGGACGGCTCTCCTGAGATCACAGCAGGTTTTCGAAGGCCATTATTATTGTTGTTGTTAATAATAATAATAAAATTTGTATGCCGTCCATTACTTGCGTCTCCGGATGGCTTACAACATAGGTCAAGATAAAATAGATAAATTGACAACTCCACTCTGGCTGCGAATTAATAAAATACAAACAATAAAAACCAGTTCCCATTAAAACATATTAAAATATTGATTAAATAAAAAGGTCTTGACCTGACGCCGAAAAACATATAATGACGGCACCAGGCGGACCTCTCAGGCCACGTCTGAAGCAACCTGCAGTCGCTGGGGCCAAGTCCCTGGGACGAGCTGATCACTCTGCCCAGGTGTTTCCCACCAACACTGGATGCTGCATCGGTCAGGATTATAATCAGCACATGGCATCTGCTCCTCCCTCGATTGTCACAAACGCTTCACAGGCCGCGCTGGAGGAGAGGAGAGAAGGCCGCGTGCCGCGTCTGAGCCTTCGGCCAGGAACTCCTGAGTGCGCACAAACAGCTTTTTGGCTAAGGGGCTGCATAAAAGCACTTCAAAGGTGTGGTCCTGTGCGTGTAACTTCTAGGTGCAATTTCCGAATATGCTCTACACAGGGCCTCCCTTGCGCCTGCTCCGGAAACCACAAGTAGCACAAACTCCGGGAACCCTCCATGAAAGAAATTAGGAGAGTAAGTACTCGGAGGAGGGCTTTCTCTGCGGTGGCGCCCAACCTATGGAATTTACTCCCCAAAGAGGTCCGCCTGGCACTGTCGTTACTGGCTTTTCGGCGCCAGGTAAAGGCCTTTTTATTTAAACATCATTTTAATTGTTAAAATATATGATCTGGCCAGGGCAACTTCTTCTTCCTTCTCTTTTCTCCTCCTGTATTCTTTATTTACTTATTTTATACTGTTAATTTTAATTTTATATTATTGTATCTCAGTGTATTTTTTGTATTTCGTGGTAATTTATTATGTTCTATTGTATTTCAATGTATCTTATTGTGTTGTAAGCCGCCCCGAGGCTTCGGCAAGGGGCGGCATAGAAATGTAGTAGTAGTAGTAGTAGTAGTAGTAGTAGTAGTAATAATAATAATAATAATATGGCATCCAGGGTGGTCTTTGGATCATCGCGGGGACACCGTATTTCACTGATGCTAAATTCTCTGCACTGGCAGCCAAGATGTTTCTGGATAGATCACAAGGTGCTGGTCATTTTATTTATTAGAATTATAGTCCACCTTTTTTCTTTTAAAGAACTCAAAGTGGTTTACATCGTTCTCTTCTTCCTGTTCTCAGTCTTATCCCCACAACAACAACCCCACAACAACTTGTGAAACAAGTTGGGCTTTAATTACCTTTAAAACAGGATGGATAAAAATCAATGATTTAAAAATTAAAAATGGATTTTTGTATTTAAAAATCAGGTTTTTAAATTTTAAATTAAATTTTAAAATTGCTTTTTAAATAAAATGCTTTTTAGAAAAAAATCTATTTAGTTTCCTATTTAAGATACATTATGGTTCAAAGGTTACTCATCAAGGATTAGTTTTTAATTATGCAGCATGAGGCTGTATATTCATACAATGTTTACATTTTTGGTAAATGAATTCTATTAACTGATTCACAATGTCATGCTCTTCCAGAGGTTTCTGTAATATTATTGGGCAGTTTTTCTATCTGGAAAATATTATCACAGATGCTTGGTGTTACAGTTCTCGAAACGGTGAATTTGTTTCTGCAGAGATCCATCCTGATTAAAATTCCCCATGGCTGACGGGAATGCTGGGAACTGTGGAACGTTTTTACAGTGTAAACATACCCCGGATTGCACCCAAATTAAAAAATAAAATAAACTGCACACCAGCCACCATGCTCATTCAGATTACAAAAACCCCTTCTCCACTTTTTCTTCTGGGTAACTGCCTATTAAAAGGAAGAGTGCCAAGAAAGCTTGGGCAAGAGGGAGGGGGCACTGGCCTTGTCTCACCTTCACCTGCACCTGGAAAAGAAAAGGTGAACCGTGACAAACAATGAGAATAAGTCATCCACTGACTTGCTACTGAAGCGGCCGCCTGGTTTTTGATATCCAAGCTGAATGGGTTCTTCACCTGCCGCATCTGTCTCTGGGACACCTTCACATTTGATTCTGTTTCTTCCGAGTTTCTCAGAATCACGGGCACATCCCACCCAAACCTGTGTGGTAGGAAGGAGCAATAAGGCGACAAAGGTCAGGACTAACAGCAGGCAGAACGGGTTACATTATAAGGCACGGACACAAAGCAGATTAAAACAAACCAGGTCACGGCATTTGTTTTGCCCTTATAGGCAATTCTTCCTCCACTGCACCTGATTTCCCTCCAGCGCAGAAGAGCAACCTTATTTATTCCCTCCCATTCAAAACGCACCCTGACCATTTCTCACTGGAACAGACTTTTCCGCTCCCCTACACTCCCACCACAAACCTATCTCTTGCCTGCTGCCCCCATCCTTAAGCCAGTATTTGCTTTTTTACTCAAATCCCTGGCATCAAACAAAAAGAACCTGGTGCAAAACACACTGCCAGTTGCCAGTATTAAGATCTATGCATTGTTCCTGCCCGCAGATGCAGTCTCAAAACAACTTACAAACCCAATTATGAATTTCCAAAGGGAAAATAACAGGACCCCCCCAATCCAAGTCAGTAGAAATGAGAATCGGCACAATAGCTCAATTAAGTATTTGCACCATGAAAGCATCATTTACAACGATACAATACACTGTATTATATGTCCACAGTCCACTTAGACGATAGCATTTTGAGACCAGGAATTAGTTCGGAGTACCAGAACGGAATGGAGGTCACACAAAAATCAATTCCTGGTTAACCCTTTCTTCCTTCAGCAGCATAAATTTCTTGTTTTGTTGCAAGGAGGAATCCCCGAGTTGCTGCTACGGATGAACAGCTGGTCGTTCATCAGAGATTCCTGCTGATCTGTGTGCGGCAAAGGGCCAAGGGAACGGAGAACAAATCCTAACCGGCCTTATGCAACATAACTCCCTCCTGGACACTCCTCTGGGCAGGGCTCTTTAGGCAGCTCCGTACGCATAACCATCACCTACGCCTCTGCCACTTACACCTCTGGGGACCAGACCATGGATGCTGATGCACAAAGGGCTTTCCACACAGGCAATCTGGGCATTTTTATTCTATTTATTTATTTAACGCCATTATAGACCATCCTTCACTAAAACATCCCAGGAAGGTCGTGCAATGAAACAAAAGTGCATCATCAGAGGACAAAAGTCAAATGAAACCCCATCTTAAAATACGTTCACACTTAAAATATTGGGAAAATAAAAAGGGGTTGGCCTGATGCCAAAATAAAAACAGGGTCGGTGCCTGGAAAACCTCTCTGGGGGGCATGTGTTGTAACCAGGGCGCCACCACAGAGTAGGCCCTTCTTTGGTAGCTGCTCTTCCGACCTCCTTCAAAAAGGGCTCCCAAAGAAGGACCTCTGACCCAGATCTTAGGGGCCAGGCAGGTATATATGGAAGGAGGCACTACTTCAAATATCCAGGTCCTAAGCCACTTCGGGCTTTGAAGTCATCACCAGCACCTTAAATTGGGCCCAGAAATTCAACTGGAAGCCAGTGCATTTTAAAAGTCATATTGCATACTACCTCAACCCCTTCCCCATAACATAGATTAGCTTCCTCCACTTAAGCGTCCACCAAAGATATGCCAGACTCCAACTCCCATCATTCCCAGCAAGTGGACAGCCACTGGGAATGGCAGCCCCGCAGTTATAGAGGTCGCCCGGTCGGTTTGATCGCGACCCTGCCCCCTCCCATCCCCTCCCCCAGGGGCTCCCTAATCTCACGCCTGCCCCACTTCCTCCCCACCTGCCCCCTCCCCTCCCCCTCCCCCAGGGGCTCCCTAATCTCACGCCTGCCCCACTTCCTCCCCACCTGCCCCACCCCCGCCCCCTCGCCGGCTCATCGCCGCCTTGCTCGCTTCTGCCAGTCCCCAGGGCGGCTGACAGAACCCGCCCCTCTCCGCCGCACCCTCACAACAACCCTGCGAGGCAGGCCGCGGCAAAGCACCCCTGCCCCACGCAGCTCCCCCCCGGCGGCCCCACTGACCAGCCCATGACCAGGCCGCTGGTGATCAGGAAGCAGACGAACACCACGGAGATGTAGAAGAGCGGCGAGTACTCGTAGAGCGCCACCAGGAAGGCGGCCGCCATCGGGGAGGCCAGCCGGGCGCCGTCCCTGCCCCGCACCTCTCAGCCGGGCGCCATCCCCTCGTTGTCAGCGAACGCGCACGCGCAAGCGGCGCGCAGGCGCGGAAGAGGGAGTGAAGCCGTGCCCTTTCGCTCCCGCCCACTTCCCCTCCCTTCTTTGCCGCCTCCCTCGCGAAACCGGAGCTCTTGGCTGGGGAGGATTCTGGGAGTTGTAGTCCTTGCCGTATGCTGGGCCCCCTTTGAGGGGACGTCGTATCCCTCTTCCTAATCACGGCGTTAACAAATTGTGGCAGGCACTTTAAAAACCCTTCCTGCCTGTTCATGCCATGATTGGGAATAAATGTACCAATAAATATGGCTGGTACATTTAAGGGTGCAATCCCAGGCATGTTTAGACCAGGGGAAAAGGCCTACCGCTCCCAGGATGCCCCAGCAAGCAAGGGTTTATAATGCCCAGCATGCCCTAGTCAGAGGAATGCTGGGAGTTGTCTTCTTCTTTTGGTCTAAACTGTTTGCTTACAATCATGTAACGTGTTTCACAAGTTTTAATTTGCAAGTTGCCTCGGGAATCAGTTCTGGACTGATTCATTTAGATGCCAGGAAGCACTTCCTGACTGTTAGGACCCCGAGGGTGTGGAACGGGCTTCCACGAGAGGTCGCTGAGGCCCCATCGGTGAGGGTGTTCAAAGATAGGCTGGACGTGCACATGGTGGGCATGTCGTGAGCAGAGCCAGCTGGTGCCGGAGGTCAGACTAGATGGCCTGGGAGACCCCTTCTGACTCACGCTGTTTCTATGTTTCTATGGACTGAAAGGCAACTATTAAACATACAATTTTAAAAAATTGCATACAATTTTAAAAATAGAAAAATAAGCTGAACATGAAAACAAAAATTGAAAGGTGGTCTAAACAAGACAGAAATATCTACTGTTATAAGATTCAACACTCCTACTTTTCCTTTTTTAATACATATAATATTGGGCAGCTCATGTTTCAATTTTTTTCAGAAAATGAATGTTATTTCCATAAGCAAGACCTGTGCATGGGCACTGTCATTCATGGGCTGTCCTATCCCAGTCCAACCAGGGTCATGGCTCCTGATTGTCCCCAATTTGTCTTGCAGCACCTTAACTGATAACAAAAGTTCACAGCATCCACTTTCGTGCACTGGAGTCCACTTCCTCGGATGGCCAAGACTCCATTCCACAGAAGTTTATGCCCCCAGGCTCTTTCTTACATTTTGCCGCAACAGAGAAACTCCTCTGTCCCTCTGGAAGAAATTAGTATTGACAGAGAACATTTAACATGATGCCTTCAGGCTGTTCTTAAAATTGTTGCTCCAACAGACTAACTCAGCTATCCCTGTGGAATAAATAATAACGTATTATATACTTTAATTGGTGCACAGAGTTGCAGGATTGCTTACTAGAACTGGCAGACGTGACCACGTAACGCCAGTCCTATATCATCTCTGTTGACCAAATGGTCCATGTCCTGGTGTTTGTACGCCCAAAATACACAACAGGGAAAGGTTTTCTTTTAAAGGATTTATTCTTGAGAATAACCGGCTACTAATTAATCGTTCCAGATGGTGCACCTGAGCAGTGCTCATCTGGCCCTTTTATACATTGACCATCAGAGGGTTACACATAACACAGTTAATACTTTTCAACAGGTTACAGAAGTAAAAAAGTTACACCGGCGTGACCTTTCCTACTTGCATATCAAGGAAGGTGCTCCAAAGTTTGTGGGGGGAGGATGGGGTGCTATTCCAGCGAAAAGAAGGAGGATGGAGTGGGTTGGTGTGAATCACCCTTTGTTTGAGCTGCTGTTATCCATCAAGTACCAACTAGCTTTCACTGGAATAGTGCCAGGTTATTGTCAGCTACAGTTCAAGGATGCATGCATGCTGATTTCTAGAATAATGTAATACATAATATTAAGCAGCAATAAAATACAACTATAACTCAAGGCGATCAAACCGCTCAGTCCAAGAGGAGATCAACCCGGGCTGCTCTTTAGAAGGCCAGATCCTGAAGATGAAGCTCAAATACTTTGGCCACCTAATGAGAAGGAAGGACTCCCTGGAGAAGAGCCTGATGCTGGGAACAATAGATGGCAAAAGGAGAAGGGGACGGCAGAGGATGAGGGGGCTGGATGGGGTCACTGGGGCGGTGGGTGTGGGCTTGGGTGGGCTCCGGGGATGGTGGAGGACAGGGGGGCCTGGAGGAATTTTGTGTTGTGGGGCGATTTTACAGACGAGACCAGAGACTGGTTGGAATTACCGAGAGATTTATTTACCTGCCGGCAGGGACCATGCACTCGTGAGAGTGTGGTGCTGAGCAGATCGAAGGCAGGATTTTTATACTCTTTTACACGGACGGCTATGCAGGTGCTTGAATAACAGCGAACAATAAGGGAAATCCACTGAGCTACATTCGCACACATTTTTTTATGCTAAAGCAAGCAAGCGAGTGTACAGGGCGTGACGTTATGCTGGAGCGTAGCAACAAAGGCTGCTTTGTGGTCAGCCTTGCCTAGCGTGCACATTCGTTGGGGTTCTTGTTCTTACACGAACAGGACACTCTGATCATGCTTCTTACCGGTGACGAGCCATGCCCTAGCTGCATGTTCGATTGTGAGGGGGGTTACAACATTCCCTACTGGTCTTCTTGGGGAATCGAATCATCGAATCATCGAGCTGCTAGTGGATGGTGCTTGTAACTAGCACCCTGGCCCAGGTGAGACCTGGCATGAAGTGCCAGTATTTTCAATGCGCTGCTGGACAAGGCGGGTAACCCAACGGAGCAGAAGGGGGCCGAAAATAAAGAAAAATAACCCTAAAAGAGGTCCAGCAAGGGAAGACAGCAGACTGGTCAGCCAGGGGGACCAGTTGAAGAGGCGCTGATACCAGTTGGAACCCTCCTGGCGGCGCCTTTCCTGGTCCTCCAGGCAGGCTTTGACTAGGTCTAGACTGTTACGGATGATGCCTGAATGATTTGCATAAAAGCAGCATTTTTCATCCAAGGCAGCACATAAGCTGCACGGGGTGAGGCTGGATCAGCAAGCAAAAAGAGTCCCATTCGGGGCTGCCAGGAGGTAGGGGCGTGCTGTGGGGGTCAGGAGTAGCAGCGCATCGTGGATCATCACAGGGCCCGTGACACAGGTCCCTTGACCTGAGGACTCCTCTAATGTTATAGAGGGGTGGAGCCCCCCCATGGGCAGGTGCTCCGGTAATTTTCGGAGTAGAAGATCTTAGCAAGGACAGAAAAGGACACATTTATTCCCACTCCCGTGTAAAAAGGCGGCTGAGGACTCAGGCATAACCAATGTTATGTAATGTTTGGGTTGGTCCCGTTGAGGACTTCAAAAACTGCGGACACTAGTGTAAATGAGCGGCTGGATGAGGGTCGGCTAGCAGCCCGGACCGGAGCACGCTGTGTGTGAGCGTCAGGGATGCGGTGAGTGGGGGCCTGAGGGCGAGGGAGAGCCTGGTTAGGTCCCACCGGGCCCCAGGGTTCTGAGATAACCCGTTTAATATTGCTCCTGCGACAGTCCCCTTTCCAAGGTATCAGTTCCGCATCCATACCCCCAGATCAGGCAGTCCCCTCCAACCGTATGCACCGAGAAGAGGCCTGGGTGAGTCCACCCGGGCGGAAGTAGTTGGCAGAGATCTATGCGGAAGTCCGGGGAGGTATCGTGGGTGTGAGTCAGGACGGTTGCCACTGGCGGGGAGGCCTGCCAATCAGTCTGCAAGGTCCATTCCGTGGTAAGTGCTGCTGTGGATTCGGGAGGGGACAGCCTACTGGGCGGGCGAGAAGAATCAGGAGGGCTGCTGGGAGGAGACCCCTTTTTAACTTGACTCGCAGAGGGTCTCCGGTTTGGTGCACCGTCCATTGTTCCGAGAGGACTGGCGAAGCAGGCTTTATCTTGTCACGTGGAACCAGTGGGGTTTTTCAGCCAGTCTTACCACTGTAGGAGTGGAGAGGATCACCTGGAAGGGTCCTAGCCACCGGGCACCTAGAGTGACAGGGTGAAAGTTCTTTAGCCAGACCCAATCTCCCGGGTTTTCGCGTGGGGGATGGTCAGCCGTGGGGTCCGGAGCCTCCGTAGTCTTGCCCATGTTGGACCGAACCTGTTGGCGAATATCGTGCCGGACGCGATCGAGGGCCTGCAAGGACTCAAGCAAGTTGTGGTTAGACAACTCGGCGTGCGTCTCCTCCGCCAGGTGGGGGAGCAGAGGGGGTGGTCTTAGGGCCGCCTCTCTGGCAGTTTTGTCAGCAAAATTATTTCCTTCCTCCCGGAGGTCAACAGTCCCCTTTCCCGGTACAACACCCCGTGGACGTGAGCCGTGGCGAAGGCGTACCGGCTGTCCATGTAAATGTTAAGAGTCTTCCCCTTCCCCCACCGGGGGGCTTGCGCTAGGGCGATGAGCTGCGCCCTTTGGGCTGACGTGCCGTGTCCCAGTGACTGGGCCCATATTACCTCAGATCTGGTGACCATCGCTGCTCCCACATACCGGACTCCGTCCTTGACGAAACTGCTCCCATCTGTAAATAGGCTGTGGTCCGGCGGGCTTAGCGGGACATCGGACAGATCTGGTCAGGTGCCGGTGATAGTGTCGAGGAATTCAGTGCAATCGGGGGCGGGGCCCTCCTGTTCGTCCCCCAGCAGGAGGGTGGCCGGATTTAGGACCATCATCTTGGAGACTTGGAGAAGGTTACCCGGGGAGGGTCCAACAGTAATACCTGATATTGCGTGGCGCGAGCGTTGGAGATCCGGCGATCAGGTGGGCTTCAGAGAAGGGTCTCTACTGTGTGGGCGCCGATGATCTGGAGGTCCTGGTTAGAGCTCCTTCACCAGCAATCGTATTTGGATCCCAGTTGGGTCGTTGGGCTGGGAGGCTCGTTTCCAGAATAACCGGGTCAGTGGTGGGTTGGCCATCTGTGCCAAGAACCTGCTTCCGAGCCTCAAGGTGAATCCGATCGCGCTCCTCGGAAGTAAAAAGTAAAAAGAACTTGCAGGAGTTGCTGGCAGTCATCCCAAGTAGGATGATGGGTGTGTAATCCATAGCAGTCAGCATCCACATGCGGTCACCCATCCAGCTTCAGGCCGGAGCCTTTCCAGCTTAGCAGGGCTGCCATCGCACGCTAGCTGCCGCTCAGCTATAAATTGAACTATAAATCAAGCCTTGTGGTTTTTCAGAGAAGGGGGGGTTCTGCTGTTTCCAGTTATAAATCAATCCAACCAATGCAAAAATGCACACAAAATAAATCCTTTGTTGAACTGGTGTTGCACGAACCTGTTGCTTGCCTAGGCTAAAGAGAAATGTGCTTTCTGCTGGACAATGAGAACAGTTTTACACCATTTCTTATTGCAGACATGATACTCTTCCACATAGATGCAAAATGCACCAACCCATTGTTAACACAAACAAACCTGAACTAACACACATTCCATCTAACAATCAATGCTTGCGCATTTACATGAACATCCTTGGGCATCCTTGGGCTGGCAAATGGGCTCAGTCCCCAACAACCATTAGACTATTGTAAGGGCATCAATACCAGTAACATCAGTAACAGCAATATCACTATCATTAATATTTGGTACATTGCAAAAGGAATAAGGAGACAAAACTTTCTGTTGGACACCAAAGGGAAAAGTAGCCTCATAGATTTGAAAAGAAACTCTTCCTACTGCATACACATACACAGCCCCAGAGTTTCATCCATTTCCTCCCAATCCTTCAGTTGTAACATAGCAAAATAACAAAATGGTATACTCAGAATTCAGAACTTATACCCACACACATATATAAGACCCAGATCCATGTTGCATAGAAAAATAGAAGTTATTGGAGAGGGAAAACTCTTGATGGCTGACATAAATCACATGCTCACAACGTTGCTTTTTGGAAGGATTCCCTTCCTAAAAAAACCCTAGTGACTCATTGAGAGTGCTTGAGGGTCTTTGTTTTAACCCAACCCTTCCCAGGAAGAATTTTTCCAGAGGCAATACAAGCTCTGAACACTCAAATGCCTTACCTCAGTTACACAACTTTTATTTCCAAGACACCAAGATGTCCTTTTAGAGTTTTCTAGAGACTCAAAGACTTTCTTTGAGAACTAGTGCAAGCCCGCCTCCAATCTGTGGCTGGAAGCGGAGCTGCTCAAACTTCCCAAAGTATTTTGAACTCTGCGCATGCTCAGAGGCTGTGTGTGCTGCTTCTGCAGTACTCACAAAGTGGTGTTTGTGGTATCTTCCTGCCAGAGCATCCCCCCCTTTTCTTGGCTCTGTGGAATAGCCAAGCCCACAGAGTCAAGAAATCCAAATTTTCCAGCACAAATCCCTCCTGAATTCAGTTGGCCAGACCAAATCCAGAGAAGAGGCTGCAGTTACTGTCTCTTTAAATAATGGGAGTGCTCTTAGCAAGGTAGACTGTTCCTCTCTTTCTTTTTTTTTCTTGTCTTTACTCCAAAAGTTACACATTTCTTCCCATATTTTTTTTCAGTAGAAAAAGTGCCAAATCACCATTTACCAAGACTCTTAAAATTCTCTCACATTCCAAGCACCATGCACCCCCTGAATCATTCTCACATGGCATACACACAACATCCAGAATAAAAATCTTTTTGCCTTTCACTCAAACCTCACATTCCAAACAGCTGCAAGTTCAACAGGGGAAGAAAAACCAACTAATTTGGCAGAAATATTTATTAATGGTCAACTGCAATCTGTCTTCCCCTGATTTCACACTCTGCCCTGTTGCATTCCAGCCTGCTACTGCTCAGGCTAATTGCTAAACACGATAATTTAAATTTGCAAAACTTTACCAGCAATATGTTCCCAATATAAAACCCTTTCTTTATCTCACTGGGAATCCTTTTCAGGATTCCTACTGAGTATTCCCAACAGTATACACATTTTTTTCCATCTTTCCTCTGCCCATCAGCATCCACTCCTGGAATTTCAAACATAATTATTTAATCTCACAAAAAAAGGAATCTTCCTACCTCGGAGGGCTGTAAGGCAGATGGAAGAGGGAGAAAACTTACATTAAAGACATTAAAACAGTGTTCCCAGTTTCTGACAAGGAAAGGACCTTCATAAAAATGTTTCTATATAACCCCTATAATCATCACCTTTTTCCCAGCCGGACTCAGCCATGCTTGGGCTCAGGCAAATGACCTCATGAATCTTTCTCAATCAAAGCTAGGTTCACACATTCTCATCTCAGGGGCAAGAACACCCATCCACGCCCTTGCTTTCAACCCTGCCCTGAAGAGGACAAATTGGTGTGGCTGTGTGGGGAGCTTCTATTTCCTGAGGAACCCCCAAACCCACTCTGGACTATGTTTACCTCCCAGAAAGGGGAACACATTTCAATGCAAATAGACAAGACACAGACAGCAACGATAGAACGGGACATAAACCATACTGAGAACTCCAAGTGTCAGTCCAACAAGACAGACGACAAAACAGACCAGACAGACGACAAAACATCAACAAAACAGATGGCAACAAGACAGATGACAAGACAGACAATCTAAACAGGAACTGAGGCCGGAAGCGACGTCTCGCCTCAGACCGGAAAGTAGCCCTTACGCTGCGTCCAGCAGGCTTTTCTTTCCAATACCAGATCTGCAGATATTCAGAACAGATGGCGGGTAACCGCCGTGCGCACTTACCGGTTACTCCTCTCTCGGCTAGTCAGACGTCCCACCGAACCGGGGTAGAGGCATAAGATGCCTATGGGCTCGTCCCTGGTGTCGGGGGGAGGCAAGACCGATAGTCTCAACATCTCGCTGGGGCCTCCAAATGTTGTGGTGCGATTTTACAGACGAGACCAGAGACTGGTTGGAATTACCGAGAGATTTATTTACCTGCCGGCAGGGACCATGCACTCGTGAGAGTGCGGTGCTGAGCAGATCGAAGGCAGGATTTTTATACTCTTTTACACGGACGGCTATGCAGGTGCTTGAATAACAGCGAACAATAGGGGAAATCCACTGAGCTACATTCGCACACATTTTTTTATGCTAAAGCAAGCAAGCGAGTGTACAGGGCGTGACGTTATGTTGGAGCGTAGCAACAAAGGCTGCTTTGTGGTCAGCCTTGCCTAGCGTGCACATTCGTTGGGGTTCTTGTTCTTACACGAACAGGACACTCTGATCATGCTTCTTACCGGTGACGAGCCATGCCCTAGCTGCATGTTCGATTGTGAGGGGGGTTACAACATTTTGTCCGTGGGTCGCGATGGGTCGGACGCGACCTCGCGACTAACAACAATATGGGACAAATCATATATATAGTGCAATATTCATATGAATAATAAATAACAGTGTGCATTAGCCCTAGTGATATAAAATGCATTTTATCGTCACGAGCAACTGTTATTCCATCGACGGGACCTCTTTCCACTCCGAACACGCCCGAGCACTGCAAATCTCCCCCAGGCGAGCGTCTTTCCGTCGCGCCCGTTTTCGAAAGGGAAAGCGCCCGCGTTGCCGTGGCGACGCCGCATCCCGGCTGCGAGACGGGAAGAAGCCCCGCCCACTTCCGGGCCGTCACGTGAGGCCGGAAGGCCGGGGGCCGCTCTAGGCGTGGGCGGCGTGGACGGATGCTGGCACGACTGGGCGGGCGGGGGAGGAGGCTCGCCCTCATCGCGGTCCCCTGGAAACACCGCTGCGTCCCGCCCGCCGTAGTTGAGTGAGGATAGCGGCCGAGGCGAGCGGCGCCGCTGATTGGCTCAGGGGCAGCCTCACGCATGCGCGTTCGGCGTGCGGCGGTCGGATTGGGTCTGGACTAGGGAGGGGCCTGAGCGGCTCTTAAAGGGGACGAGCGGCGCTGGGGGAGAGGCTGTTGCGGCTGCAAGATGGTGAGTGCGGTTGGTTCCGGGGCTGCTCCGTCCGCTCCAGCCGGAGGAAGCGAGGAGGAGGCCGCCGAGGAGGAGGAGGAGGCGGCGGCGGCGGCCCGGGGGCCCCGTGCTTTCCTCCCCGCGTGCCATGGAGGCTGGAGCTGTCTCTCCGCCGCGCTCCCCTGCCTTAGGGGGTGGATCGGGGCCCTTCCTCTCCGTGTAAACGAGTCCTCCCGCGGATCCGGGCAGAGGCGCTCGAGACGGGCAGGAAGGCGCGCGGCCGCGGGGGGGGGCGTGCTCTCGTGCCGGCGGTCGGTGCTTCCACGGGTGCGAGCCGCCCAAAGAGCGTCGGCTAGGGGGGGATGCAGAGGCGCGGGAGGGGGGCGAAGAAGGCGGCTTTGTTCGCGGCAGGCAGCTCTGTAATTTAAAACTTGCTTTGCATTATTGATTCCTCCTGCTAACTTCCCTCGAGCATGAATGGGTCCATGGCTACAAGCTGTTCTACTGTATTATATCCAAAGGGTTTGGGCTGTTGGGTGGTATAAAATAAAATAAATACAAATAAATGAAAACGTGTAGGGATTTCCCCCAAAAGGTCCATTCCTATGCACGTTGAGGAAGAATAAAGGCCTACAATTCCCAGTATGCCCCAGCCAGCCTTGGGATGGCACCCAAAATCACTCTTTTTAAATTCACTTAAGGCTGGATTCTGTGCCAGGTTAGAGAGAAAAACTCTACGTTTCTCGGCATGCCGCATCTAGCTATATTGCCTGGCATACTGAGAACGGCACATCTTTTTTCCTGTCCAAACCTGTATAGGATTACCCCCTAAGCCACCAGAAGCATAGATAGTCAAGAGGGACATATGCAGCGTTGCAAAAGCTTGCACGCATTTTACCATCTTGGGGTTGGCCTAACAATGGTATTCCATCAACATGGATGATTTTCCTAGATTCTCTTTTAATCTCCTTCCCAGGAGAAGAACTTGGCTGGTATTTTCGTTCTCTCTCACCCTTACAAAGAAAAAAAGGGTGTTGTGGTAATTGCATTTTGTAAAGGGACAGAGCTTGCCAAAAGGTAAGCTGTAATTCTTCCTTTCTTTGTGTGCAGCAGAACCATTCCTAGAAAAACACCAGTGCTGTTCTTTTTTTCCCACCTGGGTCTATTCCTAGGTTTGCATCCAGTGCTAGGGGAGGAGACCTATTGATACTTAAGCTAAACTAACATTGGATACATCTTTGTGCCATTCTGATCTAGAAACAGCTGACACGGAGGGAAGGGCTTTTTAAATGTAATAAAACTTTTGTTGTTGCTCTTATGTGCTGTCAGGTCGTCTCCAGCTTATGATGACCCTGTCAGTGGAATTGGTCAGTGTGTCTTTGGCGTTCTATCTTAGCCACAGTTGACATGCCACAAACACAAGCATGGCTTTGTTTTACTTAATTCACAATAAGTACCTTCTCATGTTGGCCTTGAGGCTCATGTTTATTGCCACGGATGCGCATGACAAATGCTGTTACTCATTCCAAGCATGAATGGAGAGGGTGGAGAGATGAGGACTAAGGCGGTTTCCCCAAACTGGGCTTCCGCACATCTGCAGGGACCTAGCTTGTGGAAGGCTGGCCTAGAATTTCAAGAGTGCTGACACAGTGGCTGGTGTTCCTAGCCGTGCAATCCTGTGTCTGTCTACCCAGAAGTAAGTCCCATGGAGAGAAGCGTGCATTGTCCTAGCAGCTGCCCATTACAGCAACCTCCTCTTTAGAAGGCCAAAAGAATCCCTGAAGCAGCTACTGCAGTCTTGCTGGCAGGTGCTGCAACTCGCTTGCAGACTGACCCGCTTTGCGCCTACTTGGAGTTTGTCTCCAGCCAGGTGTTTATTTTAAGTCCATGCCAGCCTAATCTGGATTGGCAAAACGTGATTTTGTGTGTGTCACAATGCACTGAAGTTACCCTGGAAAGAACAGCAAACAGACGGAACAGCTTTGTCCTAGGACAGCTCTGTGTAGAATAGTCATTCCTAGACTGGATTATGTCAGGGTGAATGTGAAACCTGGGTGGTTGTTCAGGTTGACTGTTCTGGTGTCAAAGGGTGTGATTCTGTGTGCTTGATTCTTGACCTGCAAGAGACTGGGCTGTGTGGACCTGAGTTTCTTCTTTGCTTCTATTTTTGGTTCTGTGCGATTCACTTTGTTTGCACTGCCACACCCCTTTATAGTCTTAGCAGCCAACTGTGCTCAGTCTTGAGGAATCCTTGGGTGCTAAAAGCCTGTCGGGCATGACTCTCTTCAGCCAGTTCATTTAGAAAGAGCAAGGCTTTGCGCTGGCCTCAAGCTGTTTGTTTGTGCAAGCGCCTCCTCTTAAGCTGGTCTGTGTACAGATAAATGTAGGGCATCTTCGCATTGCAGTACCTAATCCAGTTTTAATTGGCAAGGTTCTCTCCCTCGTCAGCCCAGGAGTTATATGGTCAGAAGTCTTGCCTAGAATGGGGGTTTCCCTTGCGTCATTTTCAGTTGTTTTGTATTCTTTTTAGTTCCAGCAGCATGCATGGTGCTCCAGATCAGCATAGGCAAAAGGAGAGGGAAAACACGTCTTGCCTTGGTGCAAGGTGATCACAGCCTAAATGTCACCAGAAAGAGGAGAGGAAAGAGCTACAGCCAGCAATTCTCCCTACTCTGTAAAGTAGAGTGGAGAGGAGAAATAGTTGGCTTTTCCTCTTGCCTTTACAGTAGAAAACCAGTCATTAATCATTGTCCCAGCCTTCCCCATCTTCAGATGCGTCATGTGCTGGACTTCAGCTCTCAGCATCCCCAGCCAGCATGGCCACTGCGTGTGCTCAGTCTGGGGAAGGCTGCTTTACTCAGGGGATATGTAAATTGGACATTTGCAAATACCGTCCTTTTGTACCTTGGCAACAGTGCTTTCTGGTGCTCCTACGCAGAGTAGACGCTTTTCTGTTGGTGGCATCAAATGCCTAGAAGGCAGCCTGTTCAGAGGCAGCCTAGCAGCCTGTAACTCCTCTGATGTAATTTCTTAATTGCATCCATTCATAACTGTAACTGCTAGTGTGTTTCCTTATGCTACTGATCTGGGCGTTCCTTGACACAGAATTCGAGTTGGGATGATACGAGAACGCTGGAAATGGTTCCTTGCTACTTCTGTTTCCGATCTGCTCCTTTTGGTAACTGTTGGTCCTTCTGATTTCTTGTGTTATAGTGCCAAAAAATCCGATTTGCATTTATTCCCCCACTTGGTGCTCACAGCAGCTGCCCCAAATGGATTGCACTCAAGGATTTTCCAGTGTTTGGTTTTCCAAATAAAATGCTGTAAGCTCATTACTTATTACGAGTGGGTGACTGCTGAAAAAGCAAGATGAAGCTACTTTGGCCATGGTGGATACTAAAATATATTAAGGTGTCAACAGTTTGTAGTACTTTTGTGTTTTTTCTCCAAAATGCAAAGGACGTAAGGGAATTGCATTCTATTATTTTAAAATTACTGCATAAGAAAGCATTTAAATTGCATAATTGGTGCATTTTTTCCTCTCAAAATTCAGGTTAAATGTGCATTGGGACAAAAAGATAATATGGAGTGCTCTTATTTTTGTTCTTTTTTTTTACTAAATACAAATAAGATGTACTAAAGGCACAATCCTGTGCATTGTTGAGAGAGAAAATAGTCCAGATTGTGGAATATATCTGTCTTTGGGTCTAAATATGCACAGGATTGTGCTTTAAATTAGGGTACTTCAGTGTAGTAGAAAACTTGCCCAATGTAACCTAGTTCAACTTACAGAGTATTCCCACCTCCGAAAACCTGTATCAGTAATTCCACTGTAATTAGGAAAGCACTGGCTAGATTTAGACAACCCATGTTAGATGTTTACCATGTTGTGTTGCCTAAACCTAGTTGTGGTATTTTATTATAGTAAATCTGGTCTTTAGAAAGCACTCTAAGAAACAGCAGCTTGTTCTATGGTTTCTCTGTACTGCCATGGCCTGTTGTGTTGTATGAACCCAGCATTGTGATTTCAATGACGCTGGTACCACAGAGTCCTCTGGAAAGAGCGGCAGCTGCAGGAGCCACTCCAGCCATCTGACCTCTGTGTGTGGACTAATGCGGCAAAGGCCGGGAGTGATGCACCTTGGGACTGAGTTTCAGGCACAGTGACTGATGGGATATATGCCAACAGTGGGAGGACTGAATGGGAAGGAGGGATAACCATGATAAAGTAGAAACCACTTGATTGTACTGCAGCAAATATGGTAAAAAAAAAGAGTCATGGTAACCATGGAGGATTGTTTGTTTTGTGTGAAAGCAGCCACTGTCTTGACTTAGGCATGGTGGTTTTAAGAAAAAGCACCTGACTCGTCTTTGCATATTCAGGAAGACCTGAGCATGGGCTCCATGTCCGGGGCAGGCCATCTCGTCCCTTCGCAAAGCCGCTGCTGTAATGCAGCCTCTGGATTTTGCAGAAGTACCCAGACAATCCTAGGCAGGTTTCTTCAGAAGTTGATCTGGCCGAGTTCAACGGGGTGAACGAAATGTGTTTGGGGTTGCATCCCAAGCTGAGTTGTAATATCCGTAGGGAAGAGCTGCCGTATTGACTCAACACTGGCCTGAGTATGTGTGCGGTGCTTCTCAAAGAAATGTTTTAATAAATAAATAAAGAGTGAGAGGATGAGTCTCCGCCGCAAGCCACCTACATTCAGCAAACGGCACAAGGCAGACAACAACAGGGAGGAACCTGGGAGGGGGCTGAAGGGGGCAGGAAGTGTGACTGCTGCAGTTGGAGGTGCTGGGCTTGTTTTCGTTGGGTTGTGAGAGCCAGGAGCTCGGGGATTCGGGGCTGGAAGCACACATGCACGCACACGCTGGCGTTGAGGCGGCTTCTTCGGAAGACAACATGGGGCAAGGATGAAGTCATTCGAAGGAGCAGGAGACGTTTTCATGCTTGGGAGGCTGGAGCTGGGTGAGCGAGGCTGCAGACCGAGTCTCTCCCAGAGAGGAGAGTGGGCAGACAAGGGGGTAGGCAAGGCCGGGGAGGGCTGAAGGACGGCCGAGCGCCTTTCCGTCCGTGCCTCGGGGTAAATCCAGCTGAACTCCCCACGGCTTTCGTCTGAGGGGCCTTCCTGTGCTGCTTTGCACTCGTCCGCTGTGTACACACGGGTTCTTCGCCCCACTGGGCTTGAGCAATGCGAGTTGTAGTCAGTAAGTGGAAGGCTCGGGGCGCTTGGGCAAGCCAAGGCCGCGCTGAAAGACAGTGCTCCCCCGCAGGACTGGCTGATAGGTTTTACAATCCTCTTATCTAAAGCCACTTTTCCTAGCAGGGATGGGCGGCCTGCTGCTCCGTCTTAATTTGGTGTGGCCTTCCGCAGGGGGTGAATTCATTCTGCCCTTCCTCTGGCAGCTGCAGCTTGGGAAGCAAAGGGGACGGGGAGGGAGCAGTTGAAATGGGGGAAAGGGAAACCCACCACTCCTGCTTCCAGCCCCCCCCCCCCCGAGCCGGATTAGCCATCCCTCTGTGGAACGAAACTTGCCAGCTCTGCAAGGTCTTGCCTCTTTGTTCCCAGGAATACTTGTTCTTCTCAAGTATTTGTTCCAGCAGTAGAACAGCCTGGTATTTTGCACGGGTGGTGAACCTTCCAGCAGCCAGGAGTTGTGTCCAACTGAAATTAAGAGTGTCGCATTCACCCGTTCCTCCTGTTCTTTCTTCCCCAACCCACTCCCCTCCACATCCAGAGTGAATCGCTCGTGGTCTGTGACGTTGCTGAAGACCTAGTGGAGAAGCTGAGAAAATTCCGTTTCCGCAAAGAAACGAACAATGCTGCCATTATCAGTAAGATAAAAGATGTTGCCCAGCGAAAATTACAAGGTCTTGCGGGGGATGTGGAGGCAGGGAGGGGGCCGGTTGCTGGGCTGGAGCAGAGCAGTATGTCCTTCACGTCAGCCTGATAGTGCCCCGTGCTTTTGTGCCTGAAATGTTGATAAAAGTTGAAATGGCTCCACATCTGGAGGCCCACAAACAGGAATGTGACCTTGCAAGTGGAGAGCTGATGCAGAACCTTAAGGCTGTGCCTTGAGGTCTGCTAAAGGATTGGTCTCTGCATGGGACCAATCTCTCTGATTTACAGAATGGCCATAAATATGGCTAACATGGCTAAGATATGGCTAAAATGCAGCCACAACCTGGCATCAGGGCTGTGGGTAATACTGCTTGGCCTCGGAGTAGCCTCCCCCAGCCTGATGCCATCCAGATGTGCTGGACTGCAGCTCCCATTATCCCCAGCCAGCGTGGTCTGTGGCCTTGTGTAGTCCAGGATTTGGCAAGCACCAGCTTGAGGAAGTCTGCCTTGCCGGATGGTCCCTGAGATCGAAACAGGCGAAGGGCAACGACGCGCTGGTAGAGGCATGGGCCTGAACCCACGTCGCTTCCTCTACCACGTGCCTCTACTGCCCCCTCTCAGCATTAACCAAACGAGGAGCTCAGCGCATAACTTCGTTCCAAGCGCACACTCGTTTGAGAAATGCGGGTTGGGCCTGTTCGTATCAGCTCAGGCAGAGAGAGGATTTCTCAGGGCTCTTCATTACAAAGCAAACATCATTGCTCTTGGGGCTTTTTTGCCTGAGGTGATAAGCTGCTGCATCTACTCCTGAGGTCTACCCAGAGAGCCCTTTCCAAATTTCCCCTCCTCATGCAGAATAGCTCAAACAGGCAAGGAGAAACAGCATCCCCCTTCTAAAATAATACCCCATTTTCCCTATTCTGCAAAAGGGGGTGCAGAGAGAAAGTAGACAGGAAACGGGAGGATTGTGAGATTGTCCAAAGAGCCCGCAGACAACCATGAGCGGAACAACAACTAACCATGAATGAGCTAGCGGGTGAACTCTCAGAACCATTGGCTATTATCTTCAGTAAATCATGGAAAACAGGAGAAATGCCAGGTCATGGGAAAAGGGCTAACATTGTTCTCACCTTCAGAAAAAGGGGAAAAAAATGAACCTGGGAACAACAGACCAGTTAGTCTGACATCAATCCCTGGAAAAATTCTGGAGCAAGTTATTAAAAAATCGGTCCACAGAAACCTCAAAGAAAATGAACAGTGATTAATAAAACTTGAATTTATGAAGAATAAATCCTTTCAGACCAATTCAATCTCAATTTTTGACTGGGTTAGCTCCCAAATGGACAGAGAGAACTCTGTGGACAATATCTATGTATTTTATGCTGTTTTAGCACTTGCAAGTCATCCAGAGAACCTTTGGGTTATGGGGCTGCATAGAAATGGAATGATATAATAAACTACCTTGCCTTTAATCAAGCTTTTGATAGAGTGCCCCATGCTATCCTGATAAGCAAATTAGCAAAACGTGGACTAGATAGGAAAAACTGTCAGGTGGATCCAAAGTTGGCTGATAAATTGGACACAGAGTGCTCATCAGCGGCACCTTCTCAAACAGGAGGGCGGGAACTAGGGGGGAGCTGCAGGGTTCAGTCCTGGGCCCAGCGCTCTTCAACATCTTTATTAATGATTTAGATGAGGAAGTGCAAGGAACGAAAATCAGATTTACAGATGGTACAAAACTGGGTGGAATGGTGAGCATCCTGGAAGACGAACTGAAGATCTAGAGAAAGCTTGATCAGTGTGGATGCTGGGCTGACGTTGTTCAGAGCAACAGAAGGAGACGCAACAGGGGCCAGTGCCAAGGGCTGATTTTGGAGGGGCTCGCAGGTGTGAGTGGGATGCCTTCCAGGGTGGGCTGTGGCCAAACGAACAGAGCCAGAAATGCTGTGTTTTTTAGTGGAAGGCTCTTGCGGCAGCCCTGACCCTTGGGAGAGGCGGCCCGACCTTTTGGCGTGCGGGCCGAGCTGCAAGAGCTGGGGAACCGCCAAGGGGTGGGGTTGCCCAGCTCCCCTTGGGGTCTCCCCAGAGAAGGGGTGGGGTCTCCCCAGTGAAGCCTCTTGCCAGGGGTTTCCACTGGCCCTGGTGTCGGCCTCAGCCACAGGGACGAGGAGGGCAGCTGGTGTGCAGAGGGAGGGGCCGCAGCGCCTAGTGACGGTGCAGCTAAATCCTGTGGCATATAATGAAGTGATGTTGTTCCCTTGCCCCTTCATCCTAGTGAAAATCGACAAGGACAAGCAGCTGGTGGTCCTGGACGAAGAACACGAGGTTGGTGGACGGGCCACGTGTGGTGGGTTCTCCACGTGTCTGACATTAGGAGTAGCTGAGAAGGGGCTCGCGTCCATGTCCGGGCTTGTTGGTTGCAAGAGGTTGGGGAGGGCGCCTGTGCCGGCACGTGATGCCTCGGGGGACACGGCGTGGGGGCCGTGGCCGAGGGAGCGATCCTGGGGTCGGGCTAAAAGCACAGGGAGCGTTGAGGGATCCGGGCTTCACCCGGGAGCTGTTCATGCCCCATCCCTGACTGGGCACCCTGTGGGTAGGTTCAAGCAGGGTTCCTGTCCCCAGCTGGGAGGGTAGCTCTTTGCATCGCTTGGGGATGATGGGAGTGGCAGGTGTACCCTTTGGAAGACTCCGGGCTGAGGAAGGCCGATTTCTGAGGTTGCTGAGAATCACATGCGGGGCGGCAAAGAGGCCCAGTAAGTGCAGGACTTGTTATTCTTTTGCTGTGGCTGCATTTTGTGGAATTGTCAGCTGTGGGGAGCATGAGCTGACTGCCCCTTGCAAAAAGAAGTCTTTGTGCGCATAAGAACATAAGAAAGGGCGTGCCGGATCGGTCCATCCCTTCCAGCCTCCAGCACTTCATTCAAACCGGCTGCCCGCAGGATCCCTCCGGCAGGACGGATACAAGGCCACCTCCTGCCCAGGAGCTCAGCAATGGATGTGTGCAGGCAGGCCAGCTCTGGGAAGGGAGGCAGCATAGAGCCTGCAAGGGAAAAGGGACTCCGGATACTGGGAATAATGGAAACGGCTCGCTGCTTTGCTGTTTCTTCCAGCTTGGATTCACTCCTGTGCATGTTTAGGTGGGGAAAACGCCACCTGATCAGGCGTGGAAGCCTCTTGCTGGGGAGTGAACTAAATTTATTTTGCTTTTAAAAAAGTAATAACCACGGGAAGTGGTTCCATTAGACATATCTGGTTGCACGGACGGGCTGACCTGGTTTCCGTGTGGCTGCAGCCCTAAAACCTGGCTGGCTCAGACCGGCAGCCAGCCTTCCGCCTCCCACAGTCACCAGCCAGATCTCGCGGGCTCCTGCCCCCGGCAGCTGGCATTCGGGCGCCAGCTGCCCTCTGGCTGTGGAGGTTGCAGCGGCCATTGATTGACCCGGAGTGCCAGGAGGTCCCGCCGACCTTGCTGGGATGCGCTTTTGGGGAAGCGTGCAGGGAGGTGGCACCCAGCATCTCATGCAGAGGTGAACGTTCCCGTGATCTTGGCTTTGTCATGTCCCCCCGCTTTACTGGCCAGTGAGAACGGTTGCGGGTTCTCCCTGGTGCAGCAATGGCTTTCCATGCATGGCATTCTGTGTGGTGTTTCAGGAGTGTGGGGGGGAGTTGGCCCGGGATCTGGGGGTCCGCAGGTTTGAGCCTCGGCTCTCCCTCCTGCCCTCCTCCTTCCCGTGCCCACCTCCCGCAGAACTCAGGTGGTGCAAGATCGGCCCTTCAGGTAGAGCTTGAGCTTCTTCTGTCAACTTAGCCGAAGGAACTCGGGCGCTTTAAGACACAGCAACGGAGGGAGGCCTTGTTAGCTTACAGCTCTGCAGTGTTCTCCAGGCAGATGCAGCTCAGCGTGGCAACCACAGCCTAAGAAATGGGCCCCGTCCACAGCCCTGTGTTCTCTCCACCGCGGTGCTGCCCTCTTCTCTCTCACCACTGTGTTGGCCTCTTGCAAAAGCCTCAGCCAGTCTTGTTTTTGCTTCTCAACCACGACCAGGGCATTTCTCCGGACGAGCTGAAGGACGAACTCCCGGAGAGGCAGCCTCGATATCCTTCCCACAGTGGAGCTGTGCCGGTTTTTAGGCCGTGCTGTGTTTGAGGCAGCTGGCTTTCACCAGCGTGGTGTCCTCTCAATTTGGGGGACTCTAGCAACTATCAGACACTATGGCCTGGGCCAGGGATGATGGGAGTCGCCATTTCAGCCACTGGGAGAAAATCCATTTTCCTTTTGTCCGCATTGGTGCCCATAAAAGAGGGCTAAGAGACCTCAGGCCAGGGAGAAATTATTATATTTTATTATTATTAATTATATTTCTATACCACCCATAGCCGAGGCTCTCTGGGTGGATTGAAGTCCCCCATCCAGATTCCAACCAGGCTGGACCCTGCTTAGCTTTCAAGATGAGGCCTGGTGATCAGGCCCTTCAGGCTACATGGAAATCGCCGGGCCTTCTTGGAGTCCCTCCTCTGGTCCCTCCTCCCCCATCATTTAGCAGTTTCCTGGCTTTTCCCGGTTTTTCCGCCTCCTTCGGAAAGCTTGAAATGCTTCTGTTCAGGCTGAGTCATGGCAGGAAGAGGCTGGGGTTCTTGTCCCTGCCGCATCTCTTTTGCCCCCCCCCCCCCCCGGCCACTGGAAAGCGGCCCCGAGGCCCTTTCGGAAATGGAATTGCGTCCTCCTCTGACTGAACGGAGGCTCCCATCCCTGCTCGAAGGTCGCTGACCCCCTGTGACCTTTTCGCCCCCTGTGCTCTGCTTTCTCGCCTGCCCATCCGCTGATGGGGCACTTCATAGAAGCTGGACTTTCAGCAGCTTCCGCCCCTGCCTTCGTCTAGTTGCCTTAACCGAGAGAAAACATTCATTGTCTACAGCTACAAGTACCAGCATGACGACGGGAGAGTTTCTTACCCGCTCTGCTTCATCTTCTCCAGCCCAGTTGGTAAGTCGAGCGCTGGCTAACTCTTGCGCAAACCATTTCCAGTGCAAACTAAGTGCGGCTGGCCGCTGCCCTGCGTGGACATCGCTTAAGGCGACACAGAGATCCGGCTGTGCCGGAAGCTGCGGTCCGGCTGGCTGAGAACGGCCGGTTTGACTCAGGACTGCCCAGCGGCCTTTTGAGGGCCCCGCTGCTCGATTCTTTTAAAGCATCTCACTTTTGGAGCAAAGCAAAACCACGTGGCTCTGGACAGTGTGGGAACTGAGCAGAGCTGGGAGCTGGAGGCAGGTGAAGTGGAGCGGCAAAAGCAAGGGGCTGGCTTATTCCCCCGTCCCCCAAAGTTGGGTCCCTTCCCTTCTCTGTTGCGATACTTGCTAGTCACTGCTCAGCCATGCTCAGGACTCTGTTGTGGACACAGGAAGGGCGAGACGGCCTGGGGGCAGGTCCTGGCACTCAGCTTGCCTCAGCCCAGCCCAAAGTTAAACCCTTTAGAGAAGGCCACCCTGTCATTCCACAGTCCAGCCGTGATTCCACGTACCAGCTCTCGAAAGTGGGCTTCTCCAGTAGTGGAACGCCTTCCCGGGGTGGTTCTGGGGCCGGGAGATGCGGCACCTTTAAACACCTCCCCAAGAAATGTTTGGGATGCCGCTCCATTTTAATTGAAGTTTTTGTATTGTTGATTTTTCTTGTTGCCACCGATCTTGTTTTCTCCAGTGCATTTCAAGGTGCGATTTTAATATTGTTAAATGTGGACTGCCCAGGGGTTTGAGCATTAAGGGGCCCACTAGAGTTAATATAATACAACGGAGCCCTTCTCTGGGTTCAGCCAGCAGTTCTGTCCCTCTCGTGGGCGCTCTCCATACAAGAGCGGTGCGCGTTTGCATCCTCCCGACATACGCGCTCACGGGTGCTTGCCGAGCAGCCTGGAGGATAAAATGGGGACAAAAATCCAACTATTGTATAGAGAAGCGCTTTCCACCTCCGAGCTCTGCGAGCTTCACCCACTTCCTTGGGAAAGCAGGGCAGATCTGTTGGAGCGCGGCTGCCGTTCACCCGCTTGTTTCTCTGTTCGTGAAGGAGCAAGACTGAGGGGTGTTTCACCCCTGTGGTCTGCTGCTTCCTTGTCCTGCCTGTCGGCCACCCTGCCAGTGAAGCGCTTGGCACGGCCTGCAGAAGGACGAGGCAGAGCTTTCCTCTGTGCGGGGGGCTGCCCACGGACCACTGGCGCATGGCTTAGAGCACACCGCTTTCATCAGCCGACCCATCGTCAGATCTCCTGGGGAGCAGAAGGGTCTTTGGCTGTGGCTCCTCCTCGTTTCCAGTCTAACAAGCTGGGAGGCGTTGTGCATTTCGGGCCCCTGGCGGTGCTTTTGGACTGCATGAATGGAACTTGCCCCGCTTTTCGGAAAAGATTGTCCTGTCAGGGGACAGCTTCCGTTGTGTGTCGAAAGCGCTGGGTATGCGAGTCTAGGATGCGGTTTGCACGTGATAGCAAATTGTGGGTCAGCTACACAGCCACACACAAGCGGGTGATCAGGTTGTGCTGCCTGTTACTGTGGAATTGCACTTAATGAGAGGAACCCAAGGTGGCTGACCTAGTCTCATTTTTCCTCACAAGAAAACAGCCCTGTGAGGTAGGATAGACTGAGACTGGCCTAAGGACAGTGGGCTTCCTGGGTGAAGAGCGGCCAGGTCCCCAGCCAGTGCTCTCACCACTGCCCCACACTGCCAGTGACCCAGCAAGTGTTGATTTTTTGCTGCAGGCAAACTCCCCGTCCATATTGTGTCCATTTCCGTACTCTGTGAATGACCACGCTGAACACAAGCCTCTCACGGCTGTTCATAAAATAAAACCGGCCCTTCTGCTTGTTTCGAGAGCCGTTCCTGACACAGGTTTGCCACTGCAGCTTGCCGCGTCCCCCTTGGTGCATGGGATGGGGCGTCCCCCGCAAGCCGGCTGAGCCCCGGTGTGCCAGGCAGAAACCCCCAAGGGAGGAAGGGCTTGCGCCTGTGCTACCTGCTTGCAAGCGCCTCACGGACTGACGGGGGCCTGTCGCCAAACAGACTGTTCACTCTCGCTTGCTCTGCCTCTGCTCCCCACTCCCCGACCCCCCGCTTTCCACCATCGCAGGGTGCAAGCCGGAGCAGCAGATGATGTATGCCGGCAGCAAAAATAAGCTAGTGCAGACCGCGGAACTCACCAAGGTAAAACCAGAACGAACGCGGGGCTTTCTCTCTCGGCGCGCATTCTCCGGTCGCTCCCGGTACTGACAGGAGGCGGGGGAAGTGCCACCTCACGTGGTTTCTGCCCTCCAAGGCTGCTTTGGAATCACGCCGAGTGAAGTCCTTTTCGAGCTGGCACCTGAGCCTGGTGCTGCCCAGCTCTCTCAGGCCTCCATCCCCGGCCGCCGCCACGGCCAGGGGTCAGGAGCACGGAGTGCTGCGGGCCAGATTATCCCGAGGCTGGCCGGGCTCCGATTTGGCCCTGCGATTACCGAGTTTTTCCTCTGCTTCCGTTACCCTCAGGCAAAGTGAACATCCCGAGTCCTTCTCAGGATTCTTCTGTGTGAGAAAGCAGCCTCATGTCCCTTCCGCACTGTCCGTGGCCCACGGGGTCACCCGAGCAGTCCAAGCCGTGGCCATCGGGAGGGTGAATCGGGCTGGGGATCCTTCGGCCCTCAAGGAGGCAAAGAAATACTTTTTTAGACCAGAATTCCTCACAGCGGGCCTGTTCTGGTGTGTTGGAGTGCATGTCCCATCATGCCCTGCCTCTGGGATAACGGCTCTTGCAGCCCGGCTGGCAAATGCTGGTTTAGGCTACTGATCCAGGGGGCCATGCAGAGCATGTTGAGGCCGGCGAGAGCCTGGCTGGGGGAGTCCTGCCGGCAGAGAAAAGCCCCCCCCCCCGTGCATAGAATTGCACGCTGAGCAGTCGTCTTTAGTGGGGCTGTTCTTGCCGCCGGGCAGCGGGCCTTCCTTGAGAAAGCGCCTCTCACCCCCGCCACAAACACGGCCCCATTGCCAAATTGCCCCTGCCTGTTGTGGGTGCCTCGTGTTGGAGTTGTGTGTCCGCGGCGATTGATCTGGGCATTTTCCATCTTTGCGTTTGAATCAATGACTCGGATTGATCCTCGCAAATGCAGCCTGAGCGGACGCTGCCGCCTGCATCCGGAGAGCATGGAAGGGGCAAAATAACGCCGGAGTGGCTGCCGGAAGGCTTCCTTTTTCACAAAAAGCCCCTCCTGGGTGCTGCTGTGGCTCCTGCCAGCTGCATCTCCTTTTCCTCCTGCCTCGCAAACAGGCAGAATCACCCACATCTCTCTCTCTTCCTCTCTTCTTACGCATGGGGCCTCGAGTAAGGAGACAGGCCCACTTCCTAGAGTTTGCATGATTAAAGGCTCCTTTTGTTATCCTCCATAATAAAATCAATACGGTTTTATCTGTCTCTCAGTGCTAGGGCAGCAAGACCAAACCGGGGCACCTGAACCTTGGTGTGTGTGCCAAGCAGACCCCCAGGGGTGCACCCCCAAGAGTTAACCCTAAAAAAACACATGAATTAATTTTAATGTGTCCATGGGGCTGAAGTTAGCAACAGGTGCAGCTCACACATCGCTTTGCTGGCCGTTCAGTGTGAAGCTAAGGGCTGCCTGAGAATTTCATTTTTGTTTCCGAACCATGTGCGTGTGCCCATTTGGAGCCCCAAATCATTTGAGGCCTGTCTGTGGCACATGCTCGTGTTTTCACATTCAGTTGGCTCACAATTCTCGGGCAGGCGAGAACAGCATGTGGAGCAAATTTGCACGAATTTTGTGAAACTCAGGCTGATCTCTTGTCCTGCTGCTCAGTTTGCGTGAATCTGCCAGCTGTGCAAATGAGCAGCGGAAACACACATGAGCTACAATCGGGCACCAGGCCAGCAGTGAGAAATCAGAACTCGACCGTTCTTGTACGACCTGTTTGCTCATCTGTCTTTGAAGGTCGAGGCGATCAGGGGGCTGGGAGCAGTTTCGTAGCTACCACACCGCTGTGGGGGATCCTCCTGGAATATTTCTTGACCTGTAAACTGCTGAGAGCTCATGAGCTGCACAGGACTGAAAAAAATGGACAGATACTCCTTTGGGGGCATAGGGTGCGGCATGTACAGTATATCACAGAAGTGAGTACACCCCTCACATTTTGTAAATATTTTATCTTTTCATGTGACAACCCTGAAGAAATGACACTTTGCTCCAATGTAAAGTAGTGAGTATACAGCTTGTATATCAGTGTAAATTTGCTGTCCCCTCAAAGTAACTCAACACACAACCATTAATGTCTAAAATGCTGGCAACAAAAGTGAGTACACCCCTAAGTGAAACTGTCCAAATTGAGGTCAGTGTCAATATTTTGTGTGGCCACCATTATTTTCCAGCACTGCCTAACCCTCTTGGGCATGGCGTTCACCAGAGCTTCACAGGTTGCCACTGAGTCCTCTTCCTCTCCTCCATGACGACATCACTGAGCTGGTGGATGTCAGAGACCTTGCGCTCCTCCACCTTCCGTTTCAGGATGCCCCACAGATGCTCGATAGGGTTTAGGTCTGGAGACATGCTTGGCCAGTCCATCACCTTTACCCTCAGCTTCTTTAGCAAGGCAGTGGTGGTCTTGGAGGTGTGTTTGGGGTCGTTATCATGCTGGAATACTGCCCTGCAGCCCAGTCTCCGAAGGGAGGGGATCATGCTCTGCTTCAGTGTGTCACAGGACATGTTGGCATTCAAGGTTCCCTCAATGGACTGTAGCTCCCCAGGGCCGGCAGCACTCATGCAGCCCCAGACCATGACACTCCCACCACCATGCTTGGCTGTAGGCAAGACACACTTGTCTTTGTACTCCTCACCTGGTTGTCGCCTCACACGCTTGACACCATCTGAACCAAATAAGTTTATCTTGGTCTCATTAGACCACAGGACATGGTTCCAGTACTCCATGTCTTTAGTCTGCTTGTCTTCAGCAAACTGCGGGCTTTCTTGTGCATCATCTTTAGAAGAGACTTCCTTCTGGGACGACAGCCCTGCAGACCAATTTGATGCAGTGTGTGGCGTATGGTCTGAGCACTGACAGGCTGACCCTCCACCCCTTCAACCTCTGCAGCAATGCTGGCAGCACTCATGCGTCTATTTCCCAAAGCAAACCTCTGGAGATGACGCTGAGCACGTGCACTCAACTTCTTTGGTCCACCATGGCGAGGCCTGTTCTGAGTGGAACCTGTCCTGTTAAACTGCTGCCTGGTCTTGGCCACCGTGCTGCAGCTCAGTTTCAGGATCTTGGCAATCTTGTTATAGCCTAGGCCATCTTTATGTAGAGCAACAATTCTTTTTTTCAGATCCTCAGAGAGTTCTTTGCCATGAGGTGCCATGTTGAACTTCCAGTGACCAATATGAGAGAGTGAGCGCGATAACACCAAATTTAACACACCTGCTCCCCATTCACACCTGAGACCTTGTAACACGAATGAGTCACATGACACCGGGGAGGGAAAATGGCTAATAATGCCCAATTTGGACAGTTTCACTTAGGGATATACTCACTTTTGTTGCCAGCAGTTTAGACATTAATGGCTGTGTGTTGAGTTATTTTGAGGGGATAGCAAATTTACACTGTTATACAAGCTGTGTACTCGCTACTTGACATTGTAGCAAAGTGTCATTTCTTCAGGGTTGTCACATGAAAAGATATAATAAAATATTTACAAAATGTGAGGGGTGTACTCACTTCTGTGATATACTGTACCTAAGGGCACCAGCAGGTGTGGCTTCACTGAGGCAAGACAGATGCAACATTTTCAGCCAACTGTTGAAGTTGATTAGAAGGTCTTTCTGCATCAAACTGATGCATATTCCAAGCCACACGGAGCTGGCTCTGTTTGCTAGTAAGGAGTAAAACACTGTACCTGGGAAACTGACGCATCGGGTGGAGAGTTGCCCAGCCTCCCTTTCTCCCTGAGTGGCTAGCTTTCTGTGCACGAGGAACTTCTGCCCGCTGTGGAAAGTGCCCTGATGATGGAAGTGTCGCAGGCGGGACACGGGGTCCCCGTCTCTGTGTACAGTGTGGCTCTAGAGCGTCCCAAGAGCTTGAGCCTCAGTCCCCACTGGCTTGCGCGATGCTTCTTGTGAGAATGCTTTCCTGGCAGCTTGCCTGCATGGACCACAGAGTGACACGGCGTCGCTGGCAGGAGGCTGGTAAAATGGCTCCGTGGCTACTTTAAAAAGACTAAAAGCCAGTGTGGCATGCCCCTTTTGGGCCATTTATCATCTTTCTAATACGCCTGTTAACTGGTGTTGTCCGGGTGGATTAAAAGCAGCTCAAGGAGTAAGATACCGAAGACCGAAAAATATAAAATAGAATGCAAATATTAAACTTACAGTGCAGTGCAAAGACAGCTGCAGAGATGAAGAGCAGGGTCTCTCCAATGTCTGGGGGAAAGGAAGGTGCCAGTAGAGGTGCCCTCTGGCAAGCCTATTTGGGGGAGGGCATTTCACGACCCGGGTGTCCCGGCTGAACAGTCCTCTCCTGTAGCTGTCCCAGCTCCCTCTGGCCAGAGCATCCGGGAGATGCTCGCGAGATGATGCGGAGCAGGTGTGACCTCTCTGGTGTCGGCTTTGCTGCTAACGTCATCCCTCTTTCTCCCTCCCCACCCTCCCGCAAGGTCTTTGAAATCAGGAATACAGAGGACCTCACCGAGGAATGGCTCCGGGAGAAACTCGGCTTCTTCCATTAAAAAAAGTCGGCAACACCTTCCAGCCTGGTGCGAACTGGAACCCGCCGTGGCTCCACCTTTCTAGAATGCACTGTATTTGCAGTTGTTTCCTGCAGTGTGTGTATGTATGTACATATATATATATATTATATATATTTTGTGCGTGCAAAGTTTATACAGTGAGCAGAGGAAATGTCTCCTGCCTAACCAGACTTTGCCCTGGGTTTTTTCCTTCCTTTGTAACCATTTAAAAGGGAACGAGTCTCCTCTGCAGGGACAATACAGTTTGTTTTTGTGCTTGTGTGACTAATATTTCTCTGTGGCTTGATCCGGAGCTTGCAGCTGCTTGCAGTTGTGGGACACAGTCTCGGAAAGAACATCTCCCGCACAAGCCCCTTTGAACTGAACGGGCCTCTGCACCGCTCGTGCTTGTCTGAAGGGGAATGTTTGGGGTCTGTTCCCGGCCACGCATGTTCATAGCCTGGGAACTTACAGTAACCGTTTGTCCTTGAGCTGCGGGTTCATCCGCTCCTGTCAGAGACTGGACACTAAGACTTGTATGCGAAAGCAGCGCTGTATTCGGCGATTTCATCCGGGCATAACGGGTTCTGAACTGCTCCCAAATGCCCGCTTTCCGGAATGTTAATACCGGCACTTAGTCTGTCACCTCCTAACTGTTCAGGTTTCGGGATCGACCACTTCCTTTTCCTTAAAATTCCAGTGATGAACTTGTCTGATGCTGCACAACTTAACTCTGTTTCAGGTCAGAGGTTTGACCCGCCTATTTTTATGTGAGTAGAACATAGCATTTTTACTAGTCAAATGGAAAGTAGATTTTAAAAAATTCTAAGGGCTCAGTGATGCTTTCTGGTGGACATCCATTCCAGAAGTCTTTGTAAGTCAGTTTATTAACCTTTCTCTTAATGTCTTTTTGTCTTTTTATACAAGCACTTCTCGGTTTGTGTGCCTTCTTTAAGGAAAAATGCCTATCTTTCAACGGATTGTAAGAAATCTTACACTGCTGTTTTTTTAAGATGCTAAACTTGATATTGGCTGACTTGGTCTAAAAGACGAGGTCTAAAGCTGATCTCTTCTCTCTCCTTCCTTCCCCTTGAGAACGTCACCTGCAGTGGTACATGCCAGGGCTTATGATGCCAAGAATTATACTCGGACTCCTTCTCGGGCATTGCTCCCGCCAAAAGACCCCGATCCACCCCTGCTTCTTCACCCCACCCTTTTCTTCTTTCCTGGGACTTACCGTTTGCCAGTGTCCAGCGCAGGTTTGTCTTAAGGTAGTGCATCTCCTCTGATCCCCCACGACTGCAGAGCCCTTCTTGCCCCCCAGAATTTCCATTTGCAGAACTCAGCGGCCATCTTGGCTGCCACCTTCTTTCAAGCTGGCCTTTTCTGGCTGCAAGACGAAGATCTTGGAAGCCAGAGGGGTTTCTAGTGTCTGCCTGGGCATGGGTGGGAAGGGGTATCAGTCCCTGGCAAGGGCTCTTGCCCGTTGAAGTTCAGAACAAATCAGGTGGCCGTGGAATCTTGCTATTTTCATGCACCATCCGAATTTCCTGGGTGCAAAGCATGGAACTCTGCTGAAGCTGGACTGCGCACGGTCTTGCTTCTAGAAGAAACTAACAACTTAGGATGCATGTGTGTACCCCCCCCCCCCCACCCCAGGCTTTCCTCCAATGGCAGGGCTGCTCCTGCGTGACAGCTGGGCCGGGCCGGGCTTTCGCGAGAGGCGGGGTGGTCAGTTCTCCAGCCCCCAGAAGCACCTGCTGCCTCAGACCCCACAATGCGCTCTTCCCCACCGCACACGCGGAGTCCTGCACTCAGCTGGCACCGCCGGCAGTCAGGGCTTTGCCACCTGCGCGTGCGAGGCTGGCGCGTCCGTGCCTCCCTCCGGGGTTTGTAAGACTAGAGCGTGAGCTCTCCGTTGGCCTTTCGAAGCCAGGCGGCTTTTCTCGTGAGAGCAGGGCTGCAGGCAGAGTCTTTATCCGGCGTTGCTTTAGAGCCCAGAGGCAAGCGTGCAGCCGGCCAGATCTGGCTTCGGGGTGCCGGGCTGCCATCCTGAAGACAGGAAGCGGAACTTCCTAGTGGCAGGAGCTTGGCAGCGAGCCACCTTGTGAGGGCGGCACCAGCTTCCCCACGCTGGCACTCGCCAGCACGTTGGCTTCGACTCCCCCTGTGGGTGTTGCAGCTGAAAACATCTAGAGTTGCTTGCTGCCAGCAAGAGGGGGCCTTGAGCAGTCCGTCTCTGCCCAGTGTGGCCAGAGATCCGCCGTTTTTATTGCCCTGCACGTTGTTGAGCTCGGGCAGCCAGTGGTTCCACTTGAAAAGGCCCGGTCCCTTTTTAACAAAAGACAAAAGAGAACCTCTCGGGAAGCCTTACTGAACTTCCTGTAAGTGGCATTGTTCTAAGATGCTGCACAGACCATCTTTCTCCTCTCCCCCTTTCTGAACTAATGACAATCTTCAGGTTTTGTTAATAGGGAAATCCTTTCCAGCTTTGGATTTTTAAAAAATTCTTGTACAGCCATTTCTCCCCTGCTCCACCAGGAGTGGAGATGCAAGTCCAGTTTCCAGTAAGAAAACCTTATGCTTCATAGCAAAGTTTAAAAAACGAACCTTTTTATTGACGGGCTGTGCTTTTTCATACAGCAATGGCCGAGGATAATCTTTTCGCTACAGATGAACCCGAGCCTGCCAAAAGTAGCCTTTTGCAGTACCTCGGTTCATATCGTAGAAAGATTTATTGAAGGACCCTTTACGGAAGATGCTCGGAGCCCCTTGAGGGGGAAAATCGTGTTATAAATGCAAATGCTATTTCCATGTAGAATAACACAGGGAAGTTCTGTTCCACTGGGAGTTCTCAAGCTGACACTGGGCTATAAATACTTCGAATAAATCTCGCCTGCTTTGAGAGGGAGTAAGATGCTGAAACTCTGCCTTTCATGCCTTTAAATCTATACTGGAAGGACAGTTGCAGGCATGCAGCTAACGCACAGGAACCACCTCTGTGGAATCCCTCTGTATTGTTGCCTTGAGGGGCAGCGGTGCCCTGCGGGATGTGTTGCCCCAGTGGCTTGCAAAGCAGGCGGCCCCGACAGCGGTGCAGCTGGAACCCTCATGCAACCGGAACCCTCGTGCAACCGGCTGCGCCAGACTCGAGGAACTGCAGCTGCCTCTCTCTCACGGCCTCACCAGGACTGCCTCAGATCTGGGGGCATCTTCCGATGCGCATACTTTGTGCGTTCGGTCGCTGCGTTTTGAAATTTACACCGCGTAGAAGCTTGCTTTGCTCGCCCTGTGCAGGCTGTGAGAGCTGCTTAGTGGTTGCTTTACGGAGCCCCAAAATCTACCCACCGGTGCCTGGCACAAAAGACAGACACCTAGAACTAAAGCACTTCGAAGTCAGGAAGTCGGATTGCATACTGAATTCACAGCCCCCGTATGCAGAAATCCGCTCTCGGTTACCTTGAGCCGTCTTTATTCCAGCAGTACAATTTAAAGCGGGGTCTTCCTTTTGCTGCCACTCGGAAAGTTTGGAGCCAAAAATCTTTGCTGACCTACTGCGGGTCACATGGATCTCCCAGCAGATCCAGATCTACTCCTACCAAATTTCATGCAACCTTCCACAACCTGGTGCCTTCCAGGTGCATCGGACCACAACCTCTATCATCCCCACATGAGTGCCCGATTGGGCGACGCCTTCTTGAACAGGTGGCTTAGTCGTCGTGCTTAGGAAGTCCTTTTTTCGCCAAAGGAAGCCATTTTTCTTAACCGTGATCCAGTCCAAACAGGCAGCTTCATGTTCTCCCCTCCCCCTTGTCTCCTGCTAAGCCTAAAACGCACTGACCTCAAAAGGGGGACGGAGGCGCTTTCATGCGGCTGGGCTCAATAGACTCGATCGAGCGGCTGGCTGGCCAGCCGGGGCCTTTACGCAGCTGCGGTGCCGTCCGGCAGAAACAGTGCGGGCTCTGAGCCGAAAGGCAGCGGCGACCGGACCGAGCCGTACGGAGGCCGCTCTCCTCCTTAACGCGCCACGGTCTGCTCCCGAGCGTATTGGGTAGGGCTTTGGTGCCCGCCACATTGAGGTGGGCCACGCCTGCAGGCTCTTGTCTTCGCAGGCCCTCAGGAAAGGGCACGGGCGTCGTTTGCAAGCAGAGTTGGCCCTTGAGGACCCTGGGTGGCCTGCTGGACAGTCCGCCCGCCGTCTGCCGGCTCCAACGGGATGCTGTGTGACTATAGAGACCATTCCACGAATGCACGGACCTCGCGCTCGGCTTGCTTGTTCTTGCACCAGCCTTCCCCAGCCTGGTGCCCTCCGAGCGGCAACGCTCATCCTTCCCAGTGTTCATTCCACGTGGCTGGGGAAAGCTGCTTTTTCCACTGTTAGCAGCTGTCGGAGAACAAGGAACAGGGTAGCGCAGCCTGAGCAATTCCCCAAGTGGCTGGGCTGCTGCAGAAATGACAGGTTTGTTGGACGGAAGGGGTGCGGGTGGCCAACGTTTGTCCTTCTCCACTCAGAGCTTCGGTCTGAGTGCAATTAAAAAGAAAAGTGTCTGGAGTGGGGAATTCCTGCTGTGGGATTTTAGGTGGGTCTTGAATCTCTCGTCATCTCATCTCATTTTGAATCTTAAATACACATTCCGTGGAGTCTCCGGTAACTCCAGGGGCCGCCCCGGGATGGCTCGTGCAAGTCCTTGGGGCCGCCGCAGGGAGCAAGGCCTTCGGCTCCTCGTTACTGGGGTTGCATCCTGTCCCTTCTTGGCTGCCAGTGTCCCGTGTGGCCGTAGGCACGGGAAGCTGTGCTTGCAGCGCCGGAGTCAGCGGTATTTCTGCACCGAAGAGGTCGCCCTTCTTGCGGGACTTCCCAGAACCTCCTGCGTGTGCAGCTCACTCGCTCTGCCGCTCAGCTGCTGGCAGCCAAGCCCTGCCGTTGCCTCCAGTGCGTTCGGGAGAATATTGGCTGCATTTACAGGACCAATATTTGGGTCGGCACGAGTGATGGGCGGCTAAGGCAGGGCCTGGTCTGGCCTAGAGTTCCCATCACGCCTTAGCACCGGCTAGGCTGTCCGGGTATGCCAGAAAGGAGAGGAGTGGAGAGCCACAAGCTGCTCACCCCAGTCCCAAGGAAATGCGACCTGGTGGGGGGAATTGCCGTCTGGGGACCTGCTAATGCAGCAACATAGGCCAGCCTGCCCTCTTCCAGATCCATTGGACAACAGCTCCCATCTGGCTGGGGGGGTTCTGGGAGTTGTCCTCCTCCACATCTGGAGTGCGGCATGCTGGCAAAGCCTGCCTGTTCGTACGCAGAAAGAACACTCCTTCGTGGCAGCAACGTAATTCAGAAGTCGCGGTGCCTCCTCGGGAGGCACTGTTGCGGATTCTGCGTGTTTTTGTCGTTCAGCGAGCTAATTCAGCAAAGAACCGTCACGGTGTCCACACACATGGTGTTTTTCCCTTGAATGCTGGCATGTTTCTCTCTTCTTTCGAACCAATGGTTTCCGTTTGTTGGTTTGTTTCTGGCTAAGCATGGTGCCTGTACTGATATTGGTGACAACAAAATGTTAATAAACAAATCCCCGCAAATCTTTCTTGTTGGCTTGTTTGTTTTTCTTGCTGAGGGATGGGATTCCTGTATCGGGAGTCGGAACCGGGGTCGCATGGCTAGATAGCGGTGGCCGTTGGGGCCGACCTTCCTGTCTCGTGCCTGACAGTAGTTGGATGGAGACACTAACGGGGAGGAAAAATAACCATGCGGACGCTTCCCTAGCGGGGAGAGTGGAGGAAGCGAGGATGGCAGGAGACGGCTATTGAAGGGGGTCCATTGAAGGGGGTCCGTGGGACTTGCATTCCAGCACATCGGAGGACAAGAGGCTCCCGCTGTTGGTGTGCAGCCCTGGAATGCACCAAGCGAAAGACGCGTAGGAGGCGCTTCTCTGCCAAGGGCAATCTCCTCCGTGGAAGAGCTGCAGCCCCAGGCCTCTGGCTCTGGAGCACGTTCCACTGTGGCAAACCTGCTCGGAGTTGTGTAGTGGCGTTTCCAGACATACAGCCTTCCTTTCAAAGAGGGCACTGGGCGGATCATGCAGGAGACTGCTCCGTTTTGCCCTGACCTGCAGCAGGGAAATGGCTCTTGGCAGCTCCGGCAAGACGCTTCGGGGAAGCATCTAAGTGATGTGATCCAGTAGGAATGTCCCTGTTTGTCCCTGCTGTTGGGCAAGCCCAGATAAACCTCTGGGAAGAAGAACCTTCCAGTTGGACCTCTTGCCACATTCTGTTTGTTTGGTCCTTTGATAGATTCCCTAGGAAGGAGAAGAGGGCAACTGGAAATGGGATGCAGAGCTGTTAGGGGATTTTGGCTGCTCGGAGTGGGTATTTCTATGGACAGGGCAGGTATATTTAATCCCTCAAACGCTACAGCAGTCCTGTGTTACAAGTTTATGGTTTTATTATATGTTTATCAGTCCATTAGAAGCAGTAAAATCCAGTCCAGCCCAGAGATAAAAGATGCTAAATCACACCCACCCAAATAATAATGAAAAATAGGCTTCTGGAGCTGGAAAGGCACCAATGTTCTTGCCAAGGGAGCATCTTGGGGTGCCACCACTGAGAAGACCAGGTTTCTGGTGATCACCTCCTGAGCTTGAGGTGAGGGGGCAGCCTTCCAGGAGACGGAAGATGGGCTTGAACATCAGATCCCCACATGCAGGTACATGTGCCGAGTGCAGCATGGGCTGGAGCCCTCTTGAAGCCTACCACGTGGGTTGCAGAAGCCTTCCAGGGCCAGAGTCGCTCACCAGGCGAGAGGTTCGTGGGGAGGCGAAGGTTCCCGCCCAGTCCCCCCGCTTGGTTTTCCGGTGCTAGGCAGGCGGCCTCACCGGCCCGGCGCGGCTCCTCTCGCGCGGCGCGCCAGGGCCGGACCTGCCCCGGGCTGCTCCATCCCCACGACGCGGGCTCACGGGCCCGGCAGGTCTGCGCGGGGCGCCGGGAGCACGGCCCGCCCGCGAGTCGAGCGCTGCGGCAGCGGCAGTCCCGCCGCCCGCCGGCAAGGGCCGCCGCGGAGCGGCTCGGCGAGCGGGCGCGAGCGTTGCCCCCCCGCCAGCGCCCGCTCTGGCCCGCGCCTGCGCAGTGGGCGCCCGCCACCTCCCTGCCCTTCCCCGCCGGCCGCCCTGAATGATCCGCCCCAGAATCCCCCGCGCGCCGCCGCCGCCGCCGCTGGGCTCGGGCCTGCCGCCGCCGCCGCCATGGCGTTCACGTTCGCCGCCTTCTGCTACATGCTGGCGCTGCTGCTCACCGCCGCCCTCATTTTCTTCGCCATCTGGCATGTGAGTGGGGGGCGGGGGGAGCGGGGCCCGTGGGGGTCAGGGGCCTGTGAGGAGCGGGGGCAGGCATGGGGGCTGCGGGGGGGAGGGCAGGGCAGGGGCGGGCGGGGGGGGGC